CAAATATTAAATATCATTAGAAATCAATGTTTGCTTTAATTGTCTTTTAAAATAGTCCAGTGACGAAATAGGCCTGAGAAAATGTGTTAATATATTGTTATTTTTAAACTTCATTGATATTCACTAGAATCATTTGAATGATTTCAGCCCTGGAATTGCCAGTCTACTGAAATAAAAGTAAAAGGTAGTTGTTAAACTGAAAACTACCACTAAATGACATCACAAGGTGGTACCGAGCATTCTGAGATGTAGGCAGACTAATAATAAAGGATTACTCAAACATGTGTGAGTGAAACAAAACACAGCTCCAGGTATATAACTATAATAATAATTACAATATGTCTCAAAACTCACACGGGTACATTTTAATGCAGCACCTTTAAAAGTCATATCACTTTTTGTTTCTTTGCTACCTACCTTCCACTATCTTGCCCACAGTGTGGTCATTAGAATTATGGTCGGACATTGGGCCAGAAATGCGAGGGGGGATATTCAAACAGCAGAGCAGACAGAGCTGGAGCCATGTGAAAAAGCCACACATCAAAAACAATGACAACCTCCATTGATTTTCCCTTCGCTCTTCACTCGAGAGCTCCCTACCTCCTGTGCACCAATGCGTCGCAATAGGAGAGGCCACCAGACACAATGCAGACACCATTTTGCCCAATTTACACTATTATGTTGTATCCATGTGCTGTAGCTACCTCCTGGCATTATAGATTAGGATTTCAGAGCACGAAATCGCTCTTCTTCCAAGGAAACCTATTACCTAACCCATATGATGCCAGTTCAAAAGCACCCTACCATCCTCGCCTTCTCGGAGTAGAATCTCTTGAGGTTCTAGGCACTTACCATGATGACAGTATTGTAGCTTTTGACAACGGGGATATGCTAATGGGCTAATGAAATGGCATGCTGCTGTGAATTTCAATGCGTCATTCTTCTCAGAGCTCGAGTTGAGTGTAAGGTATTAACTATGACAACTTTGTTTGCTACTGGAAAAGATGAAGAAAAAAACTGCCAAGCTAGTTAAGAGAGCGGTTTGGAAAGGAATATGCAGTCTGGTTGTTGGAAATTTTAATGATAAGGTTTGTTGTGTTGTCTTATTTTTGTTGTGCAGAGAGGAAGTTGAAAGTTGCAAAAAGTGTATGAAAACTGGCTCTCGCTGAGGTGTGTTCTGGGTTTACTCATGCTTGCCTGTTAGTTGGTAAGAGAAGTTCAAAAGTAATAGTTGGATTTTGAGGACATTTTTTCAGATGGGGAAGAAGGTTTCAAAGTTTGTCCAATACAACAATATAGAAAAAGACTACATGTTGTAATTTTAACTATGCATATCTGATTATAATTACATGTATTCACATTCGACTCTACACACATGTGCCTCTGGTGTGTGTAGGGTTTTTCCATAATACTGATGAATACAATTTTTGGATTATATTATATTAATTTTGTAGAATTAAAAAAACATATTAAAATTTTCAATATGAATTTCCTAAGCTTAAACAATACGCCTACAACATTTTAATCATTGTCATTTAATCACAAATAGAGAACATTTTAGTGGTTGTAGACTTGTCGATTAAAAAGACCATTATCTTTGTTAGAAATGGGATTTTGTTCTTTTCTTTTCTCTCCTGTCTTTGCGTAATAATGTGGAAATTGCAATAAATTGTTGTATTTTAAAAAGACCCAGGCTGATTATTGACTATTAAAAAACAAATTAATCTCAGTCTCATTTAGTTACACAGCACTAGTTTAAAGTATCTGTTTCTGAGAAGTTACATTCAAGCATCACGCTATGAGTGTATTACTGGTGAAAATCTGAAATAATTTATTATTTTTTCCATTTAATTTTGATTGAATAATGCCATTGTCTTTGTTATAAGATCTTTTCATATTTGTTGTAGAGTTTGTATAGTCCAAAAAGCAATGGCTTCATGAATTTATCAATTTGGGATCACAATATATCGTGTGGCTGCTGAAAATTTTAATGATGGAGTTTGTTGTGATGTCTTATTCTTGTTACTACTACTATGGTTATTTTAGTCATGATTAGGCCATTAAATGTTGCAGCCCCACTCTAAGGCCTAACCTGAATAGGCTTCAACACTACAGGTATAATTTAAAACAATGCATTCATTTTTGATTATCAGCCACTATGCGTAATACATTCTCTTATACATTGTTTATTATTGACAATGACAAAATGACTCTTTTCTGCCGATATAAGCAGAGTCCCTGAGAATAGATTGTGCCACGGTGTCTTTATGGTAAAAGGCTGTTAGCAGGAGTGACAGAGGTGGAGGAGCAGAGGAGGATTGATGGCTCTACGGAACAGTATTGAAGGGAAGACGTTAATGGAGTGGTTAAAAATAAGAATGAGGACTGCTCTCCTGCTGCACAGGCTTTTCAGAGCATGGCAAAATCCTACTGGACCCACTCTGCACACTCTGTAGTCTTGGCTTAACGCTGCAGCACTTAAAATCATATACAGTAGCCTGAAGGGTCATTTTGAATAATAAAGACATGCATATATATTTTCCAGTTACTATGAGACTCTTTGAAACTCAGTGCATTCGTCATTGTCAGTAATGGATTTGAATGGGTATATATTCTGTGGTTTACCTGGTCATGGATGGCTGCTCTTGTGGCTGACTAGCTGGTCCACTGAGGGTTTTTTTTTTTTTATATATTTAATTTTCAATTCTTGCATTTTAAAGGTGCACTATGTAACTTTTTATTTAGGGTCCGTCACCTGCTTTTTCTATGGATATGTCATTGCTCTGCTTCGAATGTTCCCCAGTATGACATTAAACAGCTCTACTTTATTTATTTAATTACAAATGGTTTTATAACTCAAACATACCTAGAAAAACTGACAGTGAGCGGGGTCACCTCTCCACAGATCTCACATGTAACTTGATCTGGTTTGGTCTCCATGAAGATAAAAAGGTTTAATACCATATTGAAAACATTTCAGGCAAAGCAATATTGTCTCCATGGAGAAAAGCATTTGATGGACCCTCCACGATGCAGCTTTAACTACTCAGTGCACTTGAATTAACCCTAGAGACAAATAAAGTTATTGATTTATTTATAATCTTACCAAAATGTTTGTCATGCTAATATATGCTTTCACATTGCATTTTAAAATTGCACAGCCTCCAATAATGCTGCTTGTGTTGATAGAAAAAGCAGTAAATCACTTGGAAGACATAGTAATTCTTTTTCTAACTTTTGTAAAATTGATTTTGAATGGAGTTTGCACAGAAATACTGCTTACAAGCCATCCACGATTCCATGTTCTTTTCTAAAACCAGCTGCTGGCTCTGTAAACAACCTGTTTTTACCAATGGATCAAACTATTTCTCCTGATAGTGTCTCTCTAGCCAGATTACATTGAATTTGTGACTGTAAACCTTAAGTTGCTAGTTTCAAATCAAACTTTAAATAACTTCTAAATCCTGCACAAAGAAACTAACAATTAATCTCCAGCTCAATGAACCAACATTATCCCCAATTATCTGACATTTCCCTTGCCACCATGACAACAGGTATCGATCTCTGTAGCGCTTAATCCATCTCTTGATCGCTGCATCTTTGAAATCTTGTTCTGCTCGACAGCTTGAGCTCCCATTGAGATAAGAAAGCTTTTCCCATCACTATTTTGTGTTTTTGCTCTTAATGTCATTATAATTCAACTAAGAAGACATAAAAGCAATAAAGTTAATAGAGTAGATTACTGAATGCACAAGTGCTGGTATTTTGGTAATTTAAGATGTTGGCAATGCAATGAAGATAATAATAGCTTTGTTAGGGAACAAATCTCCTCCGGGTATAAACATGTGGTGATGATGGTCCAGCTTTTTCAGTTCTGATACCGATTTTGATACTACAGCAGCTTTAAGTATCTACTAGTGCAGAAACCGAAAACAAACATTTATTTCCATCAAACAAAAATAAAATAAGACAAAACTGATCCAAATGTGCTATGCAGCTGTGATGTATCTTTCAAGTAACTACAGAACAGCTTTGGATAAATACAAGTTCTTACTGGGCTGAGATCGATCAGTAAATATTCGGTACATCAATTCATATGGCCATCCAGGATATCAACTGAACTGATATTTGGAAGCCAATATCCAATACACTAAATTTTTCAGTATAGGCATCGATATCCAGTACCAGTATCAGATCAGTGCATCAGCATCAGTGTTAATAAGGAGGCTGGTGATTGTGATGCTGCTGTGGACACAGGTTGGTTGAGCTTTGCATTTATATGAACTAAGTAACTTCTCTGGCCCCTGCTTGTCTCCATGGAGATCCAAAATATGACTTTAAACATATCTATATCCATGAAGACAAGCAGATGATGCCAGCAGACCAAGTTACAAGTCAGATCTATAAAGACAAGATCCTGCTCTTAGAAATAATGCTGGTTTTGGGGGAGTATTTTAAGCAATAAAAAAACCCTGGAATTGAACGAATAATTGCAAGACTGTGGAACATTCCAGGCAAAGCAATCACACCTCCATAGAGACAAGCAAGTGGCAAAACCCTCACCGGAAAAGTTACATTGTGCACTTTTATGATGGAAATGGTTGAAAGGCAAAGACAGTTACTGTAGCTGAGATTGACTGACAGTACAGTGACTGAAGATAAAAATTAAGTAATATAGTTTTGAATTTATGCTCAAGGTTTATAAATGTGTGTATTGTGTTTTTGTCAGTTTTTCACAGTATCAAATGTTATCTCCATTTACACTTTCCAATCATCAGCACTGACCCACTCAGCTTTTCTTGAAATCCACTGACCCCAATTTGCCAGGCTATCATGAATTACATCTTATTCAATAGCCAGCACAGTTCTCACTATCCTTTTCTCTTCGCCTGATTGTTGATGTTTTGTCTTTTTGTGCGATTGACAGGTGTGAAACGCAGCCTGGCTAGCGCCGTAGTCGCCGTCGTCGTCAAGGAAACCCAGACTCCTGTCCGGTTGCCATGGGGAAGCAGAACAGCAAACTGCGGCCAGAGGTGCTGCAGGACCTCCGCGAGAATACCGAGTTCTCTGACCACGAGCTGCAAGAGTGGTACAAAGTAAGTTAGAGTTGTGCTTGTTGGAATTAAACTACCAGTCAAAAGTTTGGACAAACCCTCTCATTCAATGTTATTTTCTTTGTTTACTACTTCCTATATTTTATATAAATATGGGAGATATAATTATGCAAAGCAAGATGTTTGGAATGATGCTTAAAGAAACAAAAGTTTAATAACTCAACTGAATATATATATTTAATATTCAATCCTATGAGTAGCCACTCTTTGTTGACATCACTGCAAATCCTTGGACTTTTCTCAATGAGCTTCATGCTGAAGTCTCCTGAAATGGTTTTCACTTCACAGCTGTGCCATGTCAGGGTCAAGAAACGCCAAAGGTGCAAACCAGGTTTCAAACCAAAGAGTTGCTATTTTTAAATCTAAAACATGTTTGTTTTAGTTTTTTTTTTTACTTTATATTTGTTTGCTACATTCCATATATATCCATTAATAGTTTTGATTTGAGGTTCAGTGAGAATCGACAATGCAAAGAACCATGGAAATGAAGAAACATCAGTGAAAAAGTGTGTCCAAACTTCTGACTGGTAGTGTATATGGATTTATTGGGGGATTTCAGAGTAGAAGTTCTGAGACTGTGCAGTCTAAAATTGAATAAATTATAGGGATAACTCAATGTTCTACCCAGCACTGAACTCCATGAGCAACAGTGTGCCATTTGCCCAAGAAAATGAGAGGCCAGTCAAAGCCTTTAATTCAAACTGAAATGCCAAAAAGGTCAGAAACATTTGGAAAGGTCAAAACATTACAGTGACTGGGGTAATTTACCATTTTACCAGTAATTATGTGGGCAATATAGTTTCATCAGCCTCATAGAATTTGAATTAGAAAAATCAATATTTGGGTAAATGTGTGTCTTACATCAGAGCTGTCAAACCAGAGTTCATTTTTTTTTCTTTTTAATGTAGTAAGGTATTACAAATATTATGCTTCAGTACAGATAAATTGTAAAAGCAGCTGAAAATGAAACAGTTGTCTGCTTTCTACATTTTATCCTCTGTGAACCAGGAAGTATGCGGTTAACAGTCTAATTGCTTTATCATCCCTATGACAGCAAAACTATGTCCTGAAAGTTGAGAAAAGCAGTTATAAAACTAATTTGTGAGGATTCACTTTGGGCCATTGCAAATTTAAAATTAACCAGTTTTGTTTTTCAAGTTTTTTGTAAAAATCAGGTGTTACAATTACAACTTAACTTTCATTCAGTATGTTTGATTTGATAAATGTGGTCACACATACATATCATATACAGATTGCATGTGAGTGGAAGATAGTTAAAGATTTTATGGTTGGGTCACAGGTCCAATATTACTATAATCTTTATACTATAATTTAAAGGATCCATATTCTGATCTATGTTATAATGTTGTTTCCTCATCCCAAATATACCTGGAGTTGTGTTTTGCTTCATTCACATAAACCCTGCATATTTAGGCCATGTTCTTCTCTCAGACAGAAAACAATTCCACCTGGTGATGTCATGTAGTAATACAGGAAGTTCTCCCTTGTGTTTTTAAACGTTATACTTTTGCGCAATATATTACCTTTAACATTATGGCATCTTTACTAGTCTGACAATGCACAGACTGAAGATACATGTCTCTGTTCCAACATAGTGCTGTGATTTAAGCTTTTTTCCTGTTAATACCGACCCTACAGAAGCCCTTCACCAGTTTGATTATCCCGAGGGGGACTAGATTAGATTCTGGCGTGATAAAGAGCCACTGTGACCTCCTCGTGCAATTCCCACATATAGAGGAGTGTTTGTGGGACGTGTCTATGGCTTAATGCACGGATTAGATGTACAGGACAGATGTGTGTGGTCAGATCTGGTCCAGTCTGTCCCAGCCTGTGGAGCTAAGCATGAACCCAAGTCTTTTTTTTTTGTTTGTTTGTTTTTTACAGACAGTGGTCATAAGGGTGGGAGCTAACAACAAGGTGACCGCCTCAAGATGTTGTCATAAACACTCCCTTACTATTGCAGATAGACCCGAAAAGGGTCATTACGCTGTTTTCTCTAGTTTATAATGTTGTTTCCTCATCACAAACATAGCTGAGATGTTGTGTGTGCTTTCTTGTTTTGTTTTTTTCATTCACATATTTTAACACACAAACCCTGCATATTTAGGCTGGGTTCTTCTCTCAAAAATACTGTGTTCCACGTTGTGATGTCACATGATAGTACAGGAAGTGTTCAGCTGTGTTTTTAAACATCATACACTTTCTCTAGAATAATTTGGGTAATTTTAGCCCTGGAATTGCCAAACTCTACTAAACTAAAGGTAAAAGGTAGCTGTTAATTTGAAATCTACTACTTCATGGCATCACAAGGTAGAAAGAGCATTTTGAGCTTTGGATATGTAGACACACAAATAATAAAGGTTTGCTCAAACATGTGAATGAAGCAAAAGGCAACTCCAGATATGTTTTTAAAGAGGTAACATTATAACATGTCTTAAAGCTCACAAGAGTAAATTTTGTGTAATATAGGACCTTTACTTTTCCCTCTGTTGTCTTACTTGTAGTTGCACCTGCACTATTTGTTACCATGTCGAATTTGTCAATTTGCTTCATATCATGTCATATTGTGTTGGGACAATGTTCATACAATAGTTACGGAGCAAATATTATATTCTTGCCCATGCCTTTCTACACTTTTTAAACTGTCTGCGGATAGATCCTGTCTGTCTCTATTGGGGATTTTACAACCAATAAAAGATAGCAGTGAGTCCACAAACCGTGCTGGAGGAAAATGTCAAGCTCATAGAATGAAAAAAGTTATTATTAAACACTGAGGTCCTCCTACTTCTGTGGCCTTTTTCTTTAATATAATCGTCAAGTCATCCCAGACCACAATGGACAAAGGCATCTCTGTTTCAGTCTCAGCAGAGTGGTAAAAATGGATGTTATTTCTGTTGAACAAAACCGTGGCTGACATGACTTTTACCTCTCCTTTCTCTTTGTACACAATGAGACATTATCAAATGTGAGGCAGAGCTGAGGCTTGGCAGACTTTATAGAATGGATGATTTACTCCTTTATTTCTGCAGTGCTTAGGGTGATCATGTTATGTGTTATGCTAAATTATATCTATCTTGTGTTTGGGAGGGACCTTCTATTCTCTTTTTTTATGGATTATGTTTGAGTACAAGTACAAAACTTTCCCATGGTCATATGTTATTCATGGGTGTGTAATGTAATGGGATGTAATTGTGGTGATTTACTGGTTCAAGAAGAAATGCGCCATGCGCTCAAGCAGCTCTTTTTAAATTACATTTTATTTTATGCATTCATGTATTAATAACTTTTTATATGGCCTTTTACTGATTTACTTCCAAATAGTACTTTGCTATTACAGCCAGTATTTTTTCTCAAATTGGTTGGGCTGCTAAATAGCAACCCAACACTACAAGGTGTGTATTCATGAGTTGCTGCTTCCTGTTGATAGGCGCCATTTTGGGTGCTCCTTCCTTCAGGCAGATATGTTAGGCTGTGACTTATAGAACCCTGTCAGACCGAAGAAGCTACTTGGTTGAGTGCCGAAACTTATTCACTCTTAAAAATGTTTGTACTGTTTTAGGTGTATTCTTCAGTCTTTTAACTCAGTCATAATTCTTATCTGTATTCTTTTCTACATAGGGGTTCTTGAAGGACTGCCCCAGTGGGACTTTAAACGTTGAGGAGTTCAAGAAGATCTATGCTAACTTCTTTCCGTATGGCGACGCCTCCAAGTTCGCCGAGCACGTGTTCCGCACCTTTGACACCAACGGTGATGGTACGATAGACTTCAGGGAGTTCATCATTGCCCTGAGCGTCACGTCCAGAGGAAAACTGGAGCAGAAACTCAAGTGGGCCTTCAGCATGTACGACCTGGATGGAAACGGATACATCAGCCGTGAGGAGATGCTGGAGATTGTACAGGTGAGGGCCAATAAGATCTGAGACCCCTGGTAATATGATTGTGGTGCTTATTTGGGGGCTTTCTGATCTGAAGATCCAGTGTTCTATAGTATAATTGGCTTGCTGTGAATGGGCTTGCCTCTCCACAGACATTTTTCATAATTTGGTCTCCATAGAGATGCTGTTTCTTTGCCTGGAATGTTCTACAGTAGGATCATGGCATGCCCACCACTTAAAAATTACACCACATTAGCTCTTCTTGCAGAATTCAAAATTAGACCTTCGTATGTATTGTTAGGTAAGGTACTGTGGCTCTACTGTTAGTGGCCTGCTGACCAATTATTTCTTAAGTTTCACTGGAAAACTAAAATACTGGAAAACTAAAACCTAAACTAATTGGCCTCATTTGACCAACTTCTAGTAACATTTTACTAACGCGTTTGTTTTGATTTTGACTCAGCAAAAATATCAAGCTTTGGGCCTTCCTAATTATAAAGCTTTTCTTTCCCTGACTATATTCTAATCCCAACTGACCTCCCCAAGAGCCATAAGTACATTTTTTATGATAAGAGAGAGTATATTGGCCATGCAAAACTCATGCACGTGACTGAGAAACTATTACATTCCCCATTTTATTCTATTTTTTGTTAAATTCCATCTCATTTCATAATCCTATTTTGTCTTATTTATTCATATAATCTTCTCCTATTTGACACTATAGAGGCCAGCCTACAGTATAGAACAACATGAAATTTGACTGTATTTGAAAATCAGTTAGCTTGAGCTCATGGCATAAAAATAAATACCCTTTTGACATTTTAACACCACTAAAAAGTAATCTTATGTTAACATTATGAAATTACCCTGTTTTGATCAGTCCATATGGCACTGCTGATAACATAATACGCCTTATCAACCAACTGCTCTTTTTTAATTTAAATTGTAAATCACATCAATTCTAAACAACCATTGATTGCATGGTGGAAGTACTCATACTCCTTCAATTACAGCGGTAATAAGAAAGTGAATGAATTTGATAAGTGCAGAGTTTAATTATTTAAGTAATTGCATTCCGTGAAGAGGGCATTTAAGAAGGCTTGAGCACAGATATGAGGAACCTAATCTCCATGCCTAATGTGCTGACAGCAGTATTAGCCAGTGCAAGAGTGTGGCCGGACTGGTAAGTGCAGGGTCCATTAGTGAGGTACTTTTAATAATTTTGAGGGTTCAGGGAAGTATTGACCCTTTAAAATACTATATCATCAGAGTGTTCAAAATTCTACCATGGAAGCGAGTTGAGGCAAGTGAAATAGACGTAACACATTTTGAATGATTAACTGACAGCAGATCTAAATCATAAGAATTGTAACAAGTCATTTTAATCATCACATTGACTTTTTGAGCTTTTTACCATGTTATACTGTTGTTCTCTCTTCAGAAACATACGTGGAGTTGTATTTTGCTTCATTAAAATTTGTTTCAGTAATTAATTAATTCAAACTCATCTTCTCTAAGAACAAGTTAAGTTTTTCAGTTTGTCACTTTCACCTTTTTTTGTTGAAAAGCAAACACTTAAACAGGACCATGAATGCTCCTGAAAATGTCTTTTTTGCAGACAATCTTAAAACATTTTCAGTTGTGTTTGCTAATGTAAGCATTGTGTCACCATGGTAACATCAAAAATATTCCTCCATAGGCATACATGTAAAACACCCCGAGCATGATGACACTGCAAAGTATGTATAGCGACTGACACATATGACATGGACTAATGGCGAGTGTGTGTATGCTTATGTCTTCTCTATGGATTAACAGGTTAAATTGACCCCTGGGTTTATCCCTGAGTGTGCAGAATACTGGGATTATCCTACAGTGAGGTTACACACTGCTGGATTGAACGGGGGAAGCCTATTGTGTCACCAAGATGCACAACAATGAGAACACATATAGGCCACAAGATGATAGATAGTACTAGGGTAATGGAATTGTGTTTTGATTTGGCTGCTGACAGTGATGTATGATCTTTGTATTATCTGGTAAAATCTATCTTGTCTCCATGGAGATGTTATTGCTTTGATGTTGCTGGAATGTTCCACAATATTGTGTTAAATTTGTCTGTCTCTATGGAGACAAGCAAGTACCACAGCCAGGTCTAGCAATAAGATCTGTGGAGAGGAGACCACAAGAAGAATGTTCATTTTCAAGAAATTTCTTTCATTTCTTACACAGAGTTGTGTTTTGTTTCATACATCCATGTTTAACACACAAACCATGCATGAGTTCTTCTCTCAAACTGAAAACACTCCACCTTGTGTAACAGTAAAAGATAGCTGTTCACTTGAAAATTACCACTTGATGACACAGATGAGCTTTGGAGATGTAGACAGACTAATAATTAAGGGTTACTCAAATATGAAACAAAACTCTAGGTATGTTTTTGAGAAGGTAACAGCATTATAACATTGTTTAAAGCTCACATGAGTCAAGTTTGTCCAATATAGCCCCTACAAGACTTGTAACCTCACATTTTCCATGTATTTTATGTATTTTATTTGTGACTTTTATCATGCAACATGGACTTTTATTATTAATTCTCATTCATGCTGGCCAAAGTATTTTGAGCCTTGACTTGCAATGCTGAATACAGTTTAGTGGCTAGAAACAGACTCATTTTCTGCATTGGTTAAAATACTTGATTCTGTTTTAATGTGATGTCTGAAACAAATAATGAACACAAGACAAATGAATACTCAAGAGTGCCACATTTCTTAAAGGCAGTGCTCTGACCTTTTAAAAAAGGTCACCCTACGTTTATCCAATCAAAGCTATTGATTGGTACATTTGTCTAGATGCCTTTAAAGCTTGCATTTCTATATTTAGAGTCAGCCTTGTTGGCTAAGGAAATAGCAGCACCAGCAAGGTAGATTTAGGAAATATAACACAGGGGTTGTTATAATGTACTGAATCATGACTTAACTTTTAAATTTCCATGATGCAACTGCCATTTCAAAATCAGTTTGAACTATTACAGTCTCAAAATATTATTGTATTATTCAGTTTAGAACTTGATACAAAAATGTATTGAGCAACATAATATATTACCTCACTACTGTATTGTTTATTGCTTTATTGCTTTATTGCTTTATTGATTTGCGTTGTTAAGTTTTGATTTTGGTGCGTTGGTTTGACTGTAAAACTGATTTCCTTTTCTTTTAATTGAATTTAACTTACTTAAAATAAATACATTCATAGTCATTTTGATCCATATTCATTGCATTAATAAAATATTGCATTATTTCTCATTAAAATATTTCTCCATTCCCATTACTAATCTTTTTCATAATACATATGATTACATGTAAATGATCTGGTAAAGCATATTCCTTAAAGGCGCTGTAATTCATTTTCACTGTCTTAAAATCAAAAACAGACACAGACAAAACAGACAGAAATATTTTAAATGGTTTGCAGTGGTCCAAAGTTAAGCAAGAGGTGCTTATATAATGTATCTGTACTGGAGGAAGACAAATTATGCTCAAATACATGGAAACAAATTGGCTACAGGGTCTTTAAGTATTAATAGGTTAGTTCATCATGGCTCTTTACAAATGTAGACTTTTACACTAAGCACCTCAGAGCATACTTGACCCCTCTGGCCATCGCTTTATTAAATGTAAGACTTCTCGTCATACTAACAGCTTCTTCCCACAAGCTTTAACAATGCACTTTGAACTTTGGGGTCGCACCTTCATATTTTAGCTCCTTAATCTTTGTTTATTTCACAGTGTCATATGCCGCCTGTAATGATTATCTGTTGTTTGTTCATGTGGTTGTTTTTAATATCTCATGGTGCATTTTGAGCTTTTTGCACATTAATCCAATGTGTTTTTAGCTACAAAATTATGCATTTTTGTTTTGTTTTTTGTTTTTTTTAACAAAATTAAACTAAGCTTATATTGTACATTTGAGGAGTCCATCGTTTGTTGTCAGACAGTGAACAGATCACCTTAGTGTTGGTGATCTGGCTGAGCTTACACTCTTTCCTCCCAGCGGAACACATTTGGTGATTGTGGAGGCTGATTGCAGATCAGGGCCCGGGGTCGAGGATACTGCAGACCCCTCTCTCTCCAGGGCCAATCTCCAGGTTAATTTAATGCTGCCACAGGATAGGACGCACTTGTATCAGGCAACAGATAAAAATATATCATGTCAATACAATACAAGATGTGATCCAGCCTCCGCTCCACCCCCAACCACGACGCCAATAACAGGCTGATCGCTATCACTGTGGCCATTTTAAGACGCGCAGAACAGGGATAGAGATGTACAATATGGTACAAGTGGGTTTCTACAGCAATCTTGATAAATGCACACTTCAAAAGTTTTATGTGGAGAAAATTAGATTAAATAAGACTGTTGGGAAAATAATCTGTTCAAATTAGGAAATGATGTTGTTCAGAACTAGTTTTTCTTATGAAACCTTCTAGTGCAGGGATAAAGGCCCCCAGGAAAAACAGTTATTGCTGAGGTAATAACTAGAGGGGCAGCAGAATAAAGGGAAAAGGGTCTATTTCAGTAATCTATTAGGTTTTTCAAGTGCCCCCAGGACTAGGCAAAGACAGTCTGGACAAAACCAGCATCCTCATTTATAAATCGGTTGATGAAATTCTGAGTAAAATGTAATTGTGGTTAAAACAGAAAGTTCTCTTTCTTGCTATTTTGTGAATTTCTGGACCAAATCACTCACTCCCACATTAAATTGTCTTTTTATAGATTAGAACTCATGGGTAAAAATGTAATAAAATGAAGAATAATAAAAAATAAAAAAAAGTAAAGTGATATGTCAAGACCAGGACTACCAGCTTTATGCCATTTTGAGTCCCACACATTACTATAGTTTGTGTAACTATACCATTAAAGGTGCACAATGTGACTTTTCTAGTGGGAGCAAATAATGTTATCTCCATGGAAACAGGTTACAGACTCTTCATCAGAAAAGCTATTTACTACTACATTTTTGCTTATGTATTTATTTATTGTGTGAGTTTCTTTACAGTGCAGATGGATTTTAATGATCCCAAATATGTTATGACTGGAAGGACTGTATGTTTTATGCCTTATATATTTTGCAGTATTGATACTTTGCAGCGACATCATGCTTGGGGGGTGTTCTACATGTATGTCTATAGTAGTATGTATAGTAGTTATTTTGGTGACACAATGCACAATTGGCAAACACTGTCAAAAATGTTCTAAGAAAATACACAAAATGGATTTAAACAACAGTGTGTGAGCCTGTGATAAATAGTGTGTTCATTGTTCTGGCTTGTGTTTAATTTTCAACTAAATAAAAGTGAACAAATGCATTGCACAGTCAGATGGCCGATGTCCAGAAGCTTCTTTTAATTTCTAAATAATTTTGGGCAAAAAAACCTTCGTCATATAATTTTTCTTGCTTTGGACCACAGCATTCCAAAGCAAGAAAAATTATATGATGAAGGCTTTTTTGGGTCTGATGCAGACTCCTTGTATTTACACCGCTACAAAAACTTTGGTGTACATTTTCTGTTTTCATTTAATTTTCAACAAAAACATGACTGTAATGTTATTTTCAAGGGACAGCACAAATCAGCTCATCTATTGTTGTTCCATCTAAGTCAGTTCTTTCTGATCGGATTGTCTTCAAATAAATCTCCAATAAAAGTCTAACTTGAGGAACAGAGCTTCAGACAGAGTGGAGCCAACAGTTAGCATCACACCCCCAGGGAATGTTGATGACATCAGTGGCGAAGTATCAATAGTCAGGGTGGCAATAATAAAAAATGGTTATAAAATACAGAAATCACATTGAGTAGCTTTATAAAAACAGCTGTATGTTATTGTTGTTTCTCTTATTAATTTACTTGTATGAAATATTGCATTAAAGTTACTCAAAATTGGTATTTTTTCTTACTCGGGTACTTAGCATTATGATTTTTTTTTTTTTATATCTAGTTATTTTCCAACACCATTACTACATCTCTACCCTTAACATCACCATCCTCTCTTTAGTCCTTATGATCTCCCACTAACCACCCACTTCTCTCTCTTCTCTTTGCTGCGTCTCCCTGTGTCCCCCAGGCCATTTATAAGATGGTGTCCTCGGTGATGAAGATGCCAGAGGATGAGTCCACGCCGGAGAAGAGAACGGATAAGATCTTCAGACAAATGGACCTCAATAATGACGGTGAGGGCAGGAAATAGGACCAAATGGGACAATGAATGAATGCGGTGCACAGAGGGAGAGAGAGAGGAGAGGCCCACAGCACAGAGCGGTTTATAGGGCATTATTTATTGAAATGTGTTCATCTTGGCTGGAGAATGAGACATGGGGACATTAGCAGCCGAATTATGCTTGATAGGGTTAGCCAATCACGGAGCGTTATGTGGAACTTTGAGAAAGGCTTGGTTATAAATATCCACTTCTGCTGGACATTTGGAGCCTGGTGGAATAATTATAGCATAGAGTCTTAGATCTGTGTTCAATCAACATTACAATATTTCTTTCACAAATGGGACCCATCAAAGTCCGTTTTACTCAAAGGAATAGTTTTGTATCAAATGTTTTCTGTTGGCTTGAAGTGGATTTGAGTGATTACATAAACAAACTTATACTGTTGCCAGAAGCGTACCAAGCGCTGATTTCTGAAGATGGCTATAATCACAAATATGCTTTACAAATGAGTACTGCAGATCTCTGTGTGCCTTTCCCAAACTGTGGTGTGGTTCTATTTGCATTAAGACATAACATAAGATAGCTGTACTGTGCACTTTTAGAAGTGTGTTTATGGCATAGAATAGGAAAGATAACTATTCAGTAATACAAAAAGACCTCAGAATTTGAAATTTAGAGGATAAAATGTTTTGAACTAATGCCTTGATATTTATTAGCAAAGAAAACAATGGTGGTAATAGTTTCACAGGATAGCAGGTAAAACCATTAGCACAGTATCAATAGCATTTTATTCACTAGTTAAAATATATACTTTGTACTTTTATACGAATTTGTATTAAAAGTTGCATTCAATCAGTAACATAAATAATACATTTGCAAATAAATGCCACATAAATGTTACTGGCTCAGGCACAACTTCTAAAGATTATGCACAATGAAACTCACACCTTTGCTGTCGCTGTCCACAACTTTGTTCATGTAGATATACTCCTCATCTCCATCTGAGCAAAACACAAGACAGCAGTGGGATAGTTGGATCACAGATAAACTAACCCAGTGTTAGTTGTTATCCACACTTGCACTGATTTGGTCCAAGTTTGAACCAAGTTTTAAAATGTAGACTTGGGTTGGACCTGTTCCTGTCCAGCCCAAGCCTAGTCCAGTTTTAGTTTCGGATTTAGTTAAACCCAAATTATTCACCCGAGTCACAAAACATGTTTGAATGTTGTTTGTTAACTGAGAGTAACAGTTTGCGATTTTAAAATTTTATTTCATTTTTTTTTTTTTTGCTAGAACTACATAATTGTGCATTATATGGTACAATAAACAAAATATTAACATTTTTTCTGTCTAGGATCAAATAAATATAAAAATATTGCAAGCCAATTTTCCAACAAGGGCCGTACAATAGTAGCCTGATTCATCAGCCGGTTTCACTTCGTGGAAACCATCTGACCTCGTAGCATTAGGATTCATTCTCTCAATGGTAGGCTGGTACTTTTTTTATTTAACCAGTCGCTGCTATTTGGTCGCGATGTATGTAATGCTCCAAATCCCGTTGGAAGAGGGGCAGTAACATCTTTCCCCTTGATAAAATTCACCAAACATTCTCTTTGTTCTGGCTTTAAATCCTTGATCTCAGGAATCGTTGCCAACACAGAATGTATGGCTTTGTCTACATCCATCTCAACCTCTTTGTTTACTGTAGTGCTGTACCACAAAAAGGGACCGAGACAAAGACTTGAGTTTGATGTCATGGCTTCACAGCTCTCTCTCTGATTGGCCGGTGTGCAGTCTACAACTTCTGGGGTTCTTGCAAACCGTCTAGTGTATTCCCATTCCTGAGCTAGTCGCTGGAGTGAAATAAAATTGAGTGGAGGCACTAGGTTGCACCAGCCTGGCTAGCACAATATATGGCAGCTAAATAAAACCTGAATTCGAACTGGTGTTACTGAAACAGAAAAAAATTCAATGCATCTATTCTATTATTAGTTAGCAGTTCATATTTCAGTCTTCACTCAAATGTTTATATTCCAAGATATACGTTTAAAGGGTCTATATTACACTATTTTTAAAATCTATATAATAAGAAAACTACATAATTCCAACAGTTACCTACACCACCGTCAACATATTGATGACACCTCTTCTGGTAACTTATCTGGAACATTTTATGACATAATGTACTAATTTGTGTGGTTCCATATTTTATTCATTCATATTATTTTTGACAATCCTTCTTTTTGCCTCACCAGGAAAGCTCTCCCTGGAGGAGTTCATCAAAGGTGCCAAAAGCGACCCCTCCATCGTGCGGCTACTGCAGTGCGACCCCAGCTCTGCCTCCCAGTTCTGAAGCCCCGCCCCCTCTCCTGCACTGACCCCGCCCCTCTCACCTTCCTCTGTTACTACGGAAACAGTCACTCCAAAATAATGCATGATGGTTCTCGTCGCGTTTATCATATCATTTCTTTGGAGTTGTTGTTATTTTGTAAGGATGAAGTTATTGCTATAATTTAAGTTTTTACGAAAATGAGATGGGACTTTTTTGCCAGTGCGTCTACTCTTGTTCCAGAAAGGATCTTTGGATTAAGATGTTGAATTTGCTTAATTTTATTTTATGTTGTATTTTATTTTTTTGCTATTTGAGAGGCGGCGCATTCTCACTTTTAATATGATTTTTCTGTACATCATGTATATAACGTATGTCTATGTATATCATTACTTTAGTTGTCTACAAGTACAGTGCACATTGACAGGCAGTATTATGTAGCGTAGATTACTGATCTGGTCTATTGTTATACGGTTTGAGATTATATTGATAAACAATCTTAAATTTGAGATTTTTATCGACATGTTTTTGTTATTCTTCATTTGTACATATTTCTTTCTTCATATTTTATTTATTCATTTTTATTATTGTTATTTGATATGCTGAATAAGACGCTGTGATGGACTGAGAGAAAATGTGAATATCCGAAACATATTTGGGAAGTTAAAGGAAGGATTTGTGGATCTTAAAGGTAGGGTATGTACGGTGCATACCGATTGGAAAAGGAACTACAATCTCCACTCAATTTAGGTTGCCAGGGCCTAGAAAGTTTTGCGTTTTCTCAGTAAATGGACAGACCATGCCTCACTTGAAATCTCAGAACTCTCAGGCTCCACTAACACTGATTAATGATTGACTGAAGGTGCTGGGGTTTGGGTAGTGACGATTCAAATCAGAGAGAGTGCTTTTAGATTTAAAACAGCTGCTTTTAGTTTTAGGAACTGGCAACCCAAAGTGACTTATTCTGTTTTCTTTTTGGATATTTGGATTTGCTTGAGAACCACCAAATTACATAACAAACAACTTGGCCATCGTGTGTAATGTTTTGTAACTAGAATAACTTTAACTGCAAAATGGTTGTCGGTAAATGCAATATCTAGGGACACAGATAAGTCCTGTCTATGAAACACTAAACACAAATCTTACATACTCTCCCTCTAAAAACAATTTCCCACAATGCATTTTCAACACCAGTAGCACATATCATTTGAACCGCCATTTTGTGTCTGCGTATGGCACCTGTATGCTTGATGCTAACTTTAACAGTATTATCTAATTGTGTTGTTCTTTGTTTTTATTCTTTAATCAGGCAGTAAACGTAAGATACTGTAGTCGTAACTCGTCACTACTACTACTACTACTACTACTATAATAACTACTGCATGATCCTTCCTGATACAAGAAGAACATAGCAACAAAAGCAGTGCCGCACAGATAGCATACGTTTTCTGCAGCTTTGGTTCAAAATCTCATCTTTTCAGGACTATTTCTCCTCTCTTGTTTTCCTCCGACAGACAGAGAACTCACAAAGGGCTCCTACATCACTTTCTGGCTGAATGCTTTTTGTAACTTCCTGGATCAGTCTGCGCCCACTGCAGTAAGGTGAACGGATATGAAAATGGACCAAGTCTCTTCACTTGATCCTATTTGAAATTTTAAGACTTTTCCAGGTGGCTGCTTTGTTTACATAAATAAATGCATTTTGAAAGAATACTTTTAATGCTCTTGAAATGACTTAATGTTGAAATTGGCCTCTGGTTACATACACCAGTAACATTTAATAATAACTACACTTTGTTTAGCCTTACCAAAGCATTAAGAGAAAAAAAGGATTCAGGCTTAGTAACGCCTTATTCATAAACCTAGCCCCTAACCATAATTAAAGGTAGAATATGTAACCTTTTTCCCAAAATATAAACTATAATGAAAGCTCCCTTACTCTGAGCAGGCTTGCACTACCACAAACCTGACTCTTATTTGACTTGGAGGAGTGTCCCCTGCTTGATTCCATGAAAATGATGTTCCTTTGGCTATAATCTTCCACAGTTTGGTATGGAGAATGTGTCGATGTGTGGCTTTAACCTCCTATTTCCAAGGAATCATGCAGGTGATGTGCCACCTCTAGAAAGTTGCATACCGTGCCTTTAAGTGGTTACTAAGCCCGAATCATTCCTAATAAAGTATTTATTTATGATGAAGTCTTTGTTCATGCTTTAATAAGACTAATTAAGGTGTGATTATTACAAAGTGCTACCTGTACATCTTCTGATAGCAAACATTTGGCAATTGATTTCCATAGGCACCATTGCCAGATCACTACAGCCACTTAACCCAGTCTAATCTGATTAGAATATGACTTCATACAAAGTTGAGAAAAACAGACTTTCGCAGAAAATTGACACTGAAAGCTGAGTATAAGCATGCTATACTTTTTGACTTTATAAAGTGAATAGCCACTAGCTGACTTTATTATTATAAATTAAGTTAAATAACTGGGTCTCTCACTGTGCTCTGAGTACCTTTTGTGGTACACTTGCTCTCTCTAGTGGTCAGGCTTTTTATTTTACACCAAATTTATTTCCAATATTAAAACGTTGATGTGGTAACAAAATCACTTTCAATTTTTCAATTCAATTTGAATTCCTAATGTGCTGTTTTATCTTTAATACTGAATGTTCCTATAATCTCCTCTACCTCACTGATATATGACAACTGTGGCAAAGTGAAATGGCAATGCACGCCTTGCACTACAACAATCAGATCTGTTAAAAAAGTAAAAAAAAAAAAAAAAAACAAAAAAACCATCGTTTTGCACAGGAGCTTCCTTAACCAGCTGCACTTCTGCTTCGGAAATCTTATAGAGTCACTGCCTCCTGCTGGTAAGATAAGGAACAACAGTTGCTTTTCCCTTGACAGTTTTTTTCCTATTCTCACTGCCTCTGATCAAACCTTGTGTTCATAGACAATTACTGTACACCCTCTTTCTTCCTTCCTACTTTTATGTTGCATGAAAACCTCACGTGAGGATGTCATGGATATTCTGTTTGAACTGATGAAGAAATATACCTATGTGTTTCAAAAGCGCACGTGTCTTGTGTTTCTTTCTTTGGGTAATTTCTGTAATGACTGGAATGTATTTAGTGCTCATGACAGGGTTTTTATAAATATTACTTGGACTGGAGGGATAATACCTGTCAACACGTACCATGTACCACTGCTGTTCAGTGGTAGTATGTACGGAAAAAAATTTGAGAAGAAAAGTACAAAAATACAGGAAGTAGTGGTGAGTTCTAAAACTGAATACCTCTACCTATGCCAGCAACTCAGAAAAGTTGTTGACAAGGAGGCATTTGACATTTTAAACCTTTTAACAACATAAAGGTCTCACTATATATTTTCAGTTCTGAAACCATAACTGCTATAAAAAGGTTTTGGTCCTTGTGTACGTTACAGTATTGTATTATGGCAGACTCAGACTTTATTGATCCACAAGGGAAATTAGTTGGACACAGTAGCACAGTGGTATTATGCCTTATCTCCTGACCATGCCCAACCAAAATTATGTACCAACATTTTAAAATTAATTTCTTTTTAACATAATTACATTAACCGTTTCAGTGAAATTAGTAGTCTAAATCTAGCAGTCAAGTCACATCAGCTGCTCATTTGATGTCACTAGCACATGTTAATAACATGCACTTGACAGGTAGTGCATTATGCAGTTAACTGTCAACTTGTCTGGGTCCAACCTGTCGAACCTGTTGTACCACTAAGGCACACCATAATGCATTGACTAATTTCAGCCTGTGTACACCCTTAGAAAATACATAAGCATTAATAATGACCAAGAAAACACATGCAACTTTATTCATCAGACAGTGTAAACATGAAGGCACAGAGACACGTAAAGATATTGCACATTATTTCAAACCTTGGCAGCTGAAAATGTACTTACAGGGTGACCAAGCCCAAAATGCACATTGCAGTTGTGAAATCTTTATTATTTTTGTTTTACCAGTTGGCCGTAGAGCTAGAGAATCTGGCTTGGCTACATAGTGAGATCTTGAGACATGATATTCTCAACTAGTAAAAGCACAACTGAAAAAAAAAATGTGTATGCGAATGTATTATAACACATTTAGTCAGTAACTGTTCTGCCATTGTAGTGATAAATACATTCTAGTCTAGTCTAATATAGTTCAGAATAACACTTAAAACATAACATTAGGGAAAATTAATGAAGGATTTAGCTTTGAAATGGACTTTGCAAGGTAACCTGAACAAGAATTACAGGCACTAGACTAGATAGTAAACATGAGAGACAGTTTTAGAAATACTTTGCAATAGAACACCGCACAGTTAAAAAGGTAAAATAATGACCTATGTTCTGATACAACAGGTATTATAAAAATGACTTTTGAAGTTTGGACTGTCTCTCTGAACATAACCCATGAGGCCCATTCTCACTGGTCGTGTATTCCAGCTCATTGAAAAAGCACCAAAATACTAAAAGGAATTCTGTACATGTTTTTTTTTACATGTTATATTGACCCTCCTAACTATATGCGATCGGTCGGCACCTCACAGACACAGTCAGACATCAACCTTATGTCAGGATGAAACAGTCATGGGGTCATTTGTTTAGTGACCTATACAAATAAACTCACTGCATTTAACTGATCTGGTACATTCTAAGCTAGTGAGGTGAGAAATATGGACTTGAAAATGAAATACAAAATAAAAAATACATTGACACATTTTTTTTTGGTTTAAAATGCTATCTAACTATCCTGGAGAACAGTACATCACCTGCTGTCTCCATGGAGATATGATTGCTTTGCCAGGATTTAAGGTAAATGGGCAAAACTACTAAATCAAGTTAAAAACTAACACAAGCCAAGCTATTGCAGCTGTTAATTTATTGCAGTGCTGTCAGTCCTCCCCAAAATGCCTATATCCAAAAGCTGGTCCTCTCCATAGCCCCCCTCTCCAGTGGTTGGTGTCGAGTTTGTTGTCTGCTGAGTAGCTGGTGCTCCTCTGGCTGTCTTTGCCTTGTACTGGTGCTTGTATTAGTCCTTACCTCACTGGCCCTCTCCCTCCGCGGTTTGGCCAGTGGCTGCCTCTCGGATGGGGGCGCACTCTTATGCTGCCGTGGCACGTACTGAGGAGAAGTGGGGCGGGTAGTGGGCGCTTTCCAACTCTCCCGGGGCGGCCTGGAAGTGGCACTGGCGTTGTTGGGAATCCTCGCCGGTTCATTAGGATGAGACCTGCTTTGGCCGAGGCGCGTGGGGCTCTCTGTATATACGGCCAGTGGGGGGGCTGAGCTGGCAGAGTGCTGTGAGGTGGTTCGGCTGGTGCCTCTGGGGGGAGGAAGGGGTAGAGGGGGGATGGTCGCAGAGGATCTTTGAGAGGGAGAAAACAGAGGGTGATCTGGTGGGAGTAAAGTGCTGGTTCGAGGTGGGCTGAAGTGGGAAGGGTCAGCTTCCAGTGGTTTCACAACATTGATCTGAAACAAGAGGGTGCATAGAAATGTTATGAAATTATTTAATGATAAACAGGTTTCCAGTGGTGTAAGTGGTGTCTCAATTGTGTTACTTAAGTACAGAGAGTACAGACACAAGAGCAAACAAACACACAAGTAAAAACATAGTATCACATAAAAAAAAACAGAGAGGTAAAACTATTAAAATGGCAATTAAAACTGTACTTAAAGAGCAAAAAGTAAACGGTATTTCAAGCATATTTTGAGGTTTTATAAGGCTTCAAATGTAGTGATTTTGATAAAGATTTTTCAGAATTTTGTTCAACAGAAACAACTGAGTTTTTCACTTCTACCTTTCTGCTTTTATTTGTATATTTTTGTTTGCTGTTAATAACTCCTCAGCCTTTTCAGCAGGTTTCAAGCAATAATGAAAAATATTAGAGTAAAATATTTTTACTTCTCAGTCCAGTTCAAAAGTAGTTCTCAAAGGTAGAGAAGTAAAAGTAAAAAGCATCCAGTCAAGTTAAGTACAAATTACAAATACCTAAAATGTATATTCAAGTACAGTACTTTACTATTCTTATCTCCTTACTTTACACCACTGCATATTCCATCATCAACAAGAAATTACAAACTGAAGATTGTTACGCAAAACTAAGAAGATTGTGAAAAGATGACATTTTCTTGCTTTTTTTCCCCCTACATTTTAAATTTAATTAAAAACAAGCCAAATAATTCAGTAATCCAGATAATAGGTGCCATATCGCATTGCTGCTCATCATTGTTCCTCAAAGCTTAAAACTCATACAAAAGCTTACCAGGTTCAGAATTGATGAATATCTACAAACCAAATACAGATTATCAATTTCACAAGTGATTGGTTTTAAGAAGATCTTTTGTATCACAACAAACAGGTATTGCTTTAATCATTGGATTATGCAATTAGGAAGAGCTTCACCAAAAATTTATATTTCTCAAACGTTTTACCTCTGAAGAGAATGTGTACAAACAACCTCTCAATATCTCAAGGTCTCACCGATCTTGCAAAAGACTTGGACCCTTTCTTGTGAGGGCAGCAGCAGCAGGGGGGCAGTCCCAGGAAAGTGATGCAGACTGCAAAACACCGAGACAAGAACACCACCTGCACCACAGAGGTGACGATGAGTGGCACCCACAGGATCAGGGTGGTGCTCTGGGAGACACAGGTGAGAAAAGAGATTTTAACCATGTTATAATGGCATCTCCTCATTTGTATTGTCCTACATTTAAGGAAAATTTGTTTTCACCTAACCCCCCCCAACGCCCACCTCCCTACACTCCTTAAAATTAAAACTCCAGGTTATATATAATGTAAAATTAAAATATGTTAATGTTATAGTTTATTTGCCCCCCATCCTACAAAAACTCCACATTGAAAAATGTAGTTTTGAAATGCATCATTACCCAAACACAAAAATACAGAAGCCAGCTGGGGTGGGTATCTCACAGGAATGCCAGCACTCAATGAAATATGCAGTATGATATTATGATCTATACAGAGGGAATAAGGGCCTTTGTTAGTGTGCTGACTTGCAGACTACAAAGGGAATGGAAGTCACAAGTCAAAATAGCAAAGTCACTTTAGCTGGAATTTATGATGAAATATGCACAAAGAACAAAAACACAGCTTGCATAACTGCCATTTGCCTCTAAGCAACTATGAGAACTTAACTTCGGAAGTTCTATCAACACTTGGTGATGCAATCCGCCCTTGGGCATTTGGGTTCTCGCAAGATACAGTGCATTAAAGGACAAGGAAGAAATCCCACATAGAGTTTTGCCCAAGCTTTAGCCCAATCCAAGAGCCTTCCACTTCAGAGGTTAATGCTCTACATCAGTACAAGAGAGCACCTACATTCTAAATCTTAGTTTTGATGACAGTGACAATCTAAGAATGAACACATATATATGAAATGTTCTAAACACAAAAAATTTAAATAACTTAACTGAAAACATGTTTTAGATTTTCCAATTTCACAACTGTGAAGTGAAAACCATTTCAGGAGACTTGATCATTGAGAGAAGACCAAAGGTTTGCACCGCTGTCAACAAAGCAAAAGGTGTCGACTTTTGTACTATCTGCATAATTGATTGTGCCACAGTGTGGCTATTTTCTTGCCAGGATTCTCTCATTTCATTTATTTATTTAACAAGGACAATGTACTCCATGTTTATTTAAACTTTCTAGGACTTAGTTGTTCTTTTTAAGCTGCATTTTAAAATGTTACATCACCTGTATAAGATAGTCTTCCCAAGGACTACAGGGTTTATAGGTTGTAATGAATCATAAATAATCAACATTTATAAATTTGGTGCAACTGTAGAGTGAATACAATCTACTGCACACCTACTAACCATCAATGTAGAGTGCAATAACTGAAATGTTAAAAGGTGAGCTGTAATTGTGATAAGATAAGATTGTGAGAGGGGGACTCTAATGTGCATTTTTCATTAGACATGTCGTGTGGGCCTGCCAACATGATTTGTACCCAGCCCCAGATTTTAGTGCTACACTCTTGGACAGGAGCATGTACTAGTACGTGCATTCTAATAAACTCACATAAATACGTGTGGGGTCGAAAGGGCACTCGTTGGTGACGCTGGAGTAGCCGATGGCGTCAGGGAAGCGGCAGTGGCTGAGAAGGGTGCGGCCGTGGTGCTTGATGGCCATCACCACGGCAATGAACAAACCCAAGGCAGACAGCCCAGCAAGGAGGGCTGCAGTCAGGCTGAACACAAACACGGTCCAAGTCTATAACAAAGAGAGATGCATAGAAACTTGGTGCATCACAAAGAAAAATTTATTTTTTAGCATCTTGTGTTTTTTACCCATGCAAAAAGGAAAAACATGCTTTTGTGCTAAAAAGTTAGACAATGATAGTTTAAAGGATGTGTAAAAATACAATACTCCAATTCACTTCTAAAACTCCAGCTAACTCACTTCATTCCCTTTCTGTTGTTGCTACAGACTAAATAACTAAATATCTACAGCTCTAATACTCCTTGGTATATTTTCATATACAGGATTTTTATAATGTGATAATCACTACAATTAACAGCCATATACTGTACTTCTTAACCAATTGTAGCCATTGATTCTGTCTAATTGTAATGTGACAACATGGAAATCCAAATCTTTACTTTTTAGGTTTCACCGGACATACATAACACAAACCAAAAATGACCATTCCAAATACCATACAACGCGATGTCAACAAAATTAACAAGCACAGTGGCCAATCAGACGCCAGAGCTGTTTTCTATAGGGCTAAGCAAACAAATGCATAATCACAGCACATGTAAATAACAAGTGCAGACTCTAATCAAACTTCCACTCTGCGTACATACATACATACATGTACACACATAGCTGGACATATTGACTTTGCAAAGCTCGATTATCGCTTTCAGGAAGGCATGTTTACAAGAATCAGTGAAGAATCCTTCACTGCATATAATAAAGCAAATATTGAATAGTTATTATTCACATGGCAAACTTAAATAATGTCCTTTGTTCCAATTTCCTGGTCTGTCCTGCTTCACCTCTTAAAGCTGCACAGAAGTAGACCTATACGGGTGGTGAGAACACAAAGCCTGTCTCTCCAGTTTGTGTATACAAGCACATGCTGCCACAATATCATTAACAGTGATGGCATGGTGGCTGAGTGGCTAGCACTCATGCCTCACAGCAAGAAGGTTCTGGGTTCGATCCCCGGCTCTCCCGGGTCTTTCTGTTTGCATCTTTCTACCCATGCCTGGACGGGTTTCCTCCGGGTGCTCCGGTTTCCACCATCAACCCAAAACATGGTCTCCATAAACTGTGTGTGTGTGATGGTCGGAGGGACCGATGGCGCCGAGTGGCATGGCAGCTGTGCCTCTGTCAGTGTGCCCCAGGGCAGCTGTGGCTACAATAGTAGCTTACCATCACCAGGGTATAGAGTGAATGAATAATGCTGTATGAATGAATGCTGAATAATGCTCTGTAAAGCATCTTTGGGGACAGAACATTTCTGTGAAAGTGCTATATAAATAAAGAATCCTTGGTAAGGCTTCTGCTAAATAGTTACTTAAGTGGAATGCACAACGTAACATGTAAAATATCTGATTATGATCTTTATCTCATCTGTACAACTAATATTTCCTGTAAACAGAGATATACTTCTGAACTAATCTACATTGACTTGAAGAAAAATAGCACTATCTGTAACTGGGCTGTAACTGATGATAAATATTATGATTATTCTTTGTTGTTATCTTGTGAAATGCCTGTGGATTAGGGAAGTTGAAACCGGAAATGTTTTAATCCACAAACAAGCTTCATCGTTAGTAAGCACATGTGGTTTAGAGCAGAGTTCAGATTTTGGAAAAAGAATTGGAAAATGGAAATAAAGTGCTCATGTTGCTTTATTGCTTATGTTCAAGAAATTTATATTGAAATCCATTTTACCAGACCAGAAAGTCCAGATAATTTGCATTTTTTTTCTTAACAATTTTGCGGTGCACAACAATCTAAACCAACAAGAAAAACAAATGTCAGTGGGAGACCTCACAATCTCTAGTCCGAGTTGAAAATGTGCTATGACTTTGGTAAGAATAAACTAAATTATCCGCTTCATTAGATCTTCGTTTTTAAAAATGTAGATGCACCAACAAGTTATACAAGTTCACAAAGAGGAGCCAGAATCCTTGGTAGGGCTTCTGCTAAAACAATTTAAGAGATACCTCAGCGGTAAACCATAATCTAATCATGATAATACAAGCAGCACTCAGCCACTCTTCTGATAAACTACAGTGGTCACGTGACATAAGGGCATGTCGACGTGTGCATTAGGTGATAGATGGCAAACAGCTGAGCGTTGTGGCACTGCCTTTTCTGGTTAACGAACACGAGGGGAGACAAAGGCACCTGGGAGTGGTTTGGATCAGACAGGTGCTTAGTCATGGCCCAGAGCGCAGTACCCTGTCAGTCCTGCATGAGTGGTCACTGAACAAACAGCACATGGAGGCAAACCTGCTGCAAACACTGTATACAAGCCAAGAGAAGAACACTAGATAAAATGGTAAAAAGAGGCAGAAAAATAGGAGTGGGGGAAATGAACATCACAGTTTCATAGAGCCTAGATTATAATTTATGCACTTTGTATCATTAAATATAACATCTGGAGAGAGGTAACTGTTTGGGCGTAGAGGTGCATTAAACCCACCATTCTCAAACCAAGCTGTGGTCTTGAAAACATCGATCATGACTGTGCTAAACATGAAACACTATGAGGCATTAATCTTCAACAAAATTTGACTGAATACAAAGTCGGAACTTGCAAATTAATGTCTGACCCCCTCTGCTGAAGCCCCTGCATTAAATAACATCACACACACACTTCTGATCAGGAAAAACTAGTCTAGACTTCCCACACACTACCAAGTCTTGTTACGATTAAGACTAGCATTTATTGTTCCCAAAGGGAAATTTATCCACTGCATTTGGTCCATTCTTCAATGCCACTGGGGCAATGTATCAGAAGCAGTGGGCAACACAGGGCCATGTTCAAGACCCATTTCCAGATCTTTCAACTCAGCTTGGTCAAGACTGGAAGATTTTACCCATTGTGCATTTTTAGGGTTCTTTCCTTGGACTATGTTGCCCACTGTTGGCTCAGAAACAAAGTTTGTGGTTAAAATGAGACTATAGTAGTGTTTTCATGATACTCACCAAACATTTGCTCTTCTTGTTCTTGGCCAAGACAATGGTGAGAATGCCTACGATAATTCCCTGTAAACACAATAACATTGCTTAAACAATTGAGCAGTACATTTTCAGATTTCCTGTAGGATTAGTCTTAAGAATGCAGAAATAATTTTGTTAAAATGTTAAAGAATATAAAGTGACGTCTTTTTTTTCCCATGTGGTCCATTAGACACAGGTGAAAAATATATTTCTATATATAAATTTTATGCCTCAAAACTACTGAGGGAAGGAACAGAGAGACATTTCCATGGACAATTGACTGCTGCACCCTTTTGCAGGTAACATTAGCTTTGCACATTTAATGTCTGCACCAGTTTGGACCATGAGAATTTGCATACTCACCAACAGGCCTGACGTTAGGGTCACAACAGTGGAGATGGCGTACTCCAGAGCCCGCTGGTGCTTCTGAAAGTTGATGTGTCTGAGGACCACTCCCTGCACCAGAGCAGCCAACATGAAGCTCACATGTCCGATCAGGATCACTGTCAGCCCCATCTTCATCAGGGGCTTTGGCTGCTCCAGACTGCCACAACACAGACCTGCAGAGAGGAAAACATGCATGGAGTCTAGAAGTATACAGTACCAAATACAAATCAAATATAAAACGGAATCAAAATTGAAATTCTGATAATAAAACTAGTAGTTAAACTAGCATGATGATTATCTGAGCAGGTAACAATTCTAAGGTCACATTGACAGGACAGAAATGAACTTTTCTTGAACATCTTCAGAAAGAGTTTGAGCTGTATCAGAACATGTATTGACGACACAGGCTAATATATGTCCATGGAACACTGTGGATCATAGAGTACCTGGACACCTGACGGATAGCACACATAAAAGGCCCCATGGTAATAATAATAAAATAAAATAAAAACTTCTATGATTAAATGTTTGAAATCACATTCTTCTGTCAAAGTTTTTTTTTTATTTTTTTATCATGATTATGGTATCAAAGTCTTGGTATCAAAATCAATTTGAAATATATTTGAATAGTGCTCAAACTCACACAGTATTATTATTTAACTAAAGTGAATTATTGTTTAAAAAGTTCTGAAATCTGAATCAAATGTCAAGCCATAGTATTGAAAAAGAGTTTGATATTTTAGTATTATGACAACACTAGCCAGTAATACATCTATGGTAATGTAAACAGAAATGAGTATCAGTTACATTCACTCAAGTTGCAAACTACTATGGGAAGCACAATATTATTACAGACAACTCTTTAAGTCTACAAGTGACAGAGGCTTTAGGTTGAGAATATTAATTATTTTCTCATTCTTGTCATGTTTGTTCTTTTGAAAATACCATTGTTCATTACTTAATGCTTTAACCTTCTAATTAAATTAACCTACCGTAAATTTTAGCACAACCTGAGTAGACTATAGACATATATATATATATATATACACACCACAACTTTGATTAAGCAGTACTCTAATTAACAAACCATACCACTGAATGTATAGAGAAGCAGTAGTGAGTTCAGTTTTATTGATGCTGGACTACTGCATCGATCACAGAGACAGGTCAAAGCACCAGCGGTAACAACTGGTATTAATGATTAGCTGCTCAGCACATAATGTGGACCTGGAGAAAAAAAAACTGCTTCAGACATGTCATCAATGTTCTCAATTTGTGATGTCCACCCACAAACTAATTAGTTAATAGGCCACTGTATGCCACAGATCGAAAAAGATTCCAACAATATCAAAACTGCAAACTAGATTTCGATATGAATGTAGACGCTTAATGGGTCTATTCCATACAGAATTTTATACCAGAGAGAAAAAAAAAAAAAAAACACACACACAATTTTTGTCATGAACATAAAATGCACTTATGTACCTGGTCTATATTGTGAAATCCAATCTTCTTTACCATTTCATTAATTTTAATACTTATTGTACATATATGTAATTTTTATGTTTTTCTTACACAAATAGTTTATTTGATAGTATCAAGTGGTTGTACTACTTCTGAAAGATTTAAAAGAAACTTGCCTATCAAGCCTATCAAGTATTTGGCAACTCTACTACCTAAAAATGAAGGTATTCATATATTTGCTGGTAATACAGGATAGACTGTATATCAAGATAGGATTAATATCTTAATTGAGAGACATGTGGACATAACAATAAATCTGGTTATCAAGTTGGCTGATATGATTTCTTTTGCCTTAAGTTGTAGGATTTTACTTACTTGCTGGTCAAATGGCACTTGATTGAATGAACACAAGGCAGCCTTGTCTTTCAAATATGACCATGAGTTAAAACCCAGTATTTTTCCCAAAACCACAAGGCTCCAAAGTTTTCCTGGTCCCATTTATAATTGGAATTAACCACAGCAGGTGCAACGCCTTATATGCCTGCCACACCACACCCAAACTTTTTAACATGGATCAACGGCTCCAACTTTCTCATCCTTACTTTTTTCATCTACTGTTCGACTATTGTGGTTACCTTGGCCCGGCATGTTCGTCAGGTCACCATCCGCGTAGCTTGAAGTGGAGACCGGAGATGATTCAGTCGCGTGGTCCCAAAAGTCTGAGCTACAGCTGCAAAACGCGCACGGGTCCAGATGAGCAGGAATGACAACAAGTGACACCCAGCGAGACACCTTTGTGCGCTGCGCTGGCTCTTCAAAATAAAAGCTCCACTCTAAAGTGAAACCACGCGTGCGTAAAGGCTGGATAATAGCCTACAAGTAATATAACTTAGTTTGAAATACGTGAATCATTTTATTAGTAAAACGCTACCATTTGTCAAAGCGTTAGTATCAAATTTTCATCAAATAGGCCTAAGGATTTTCTACTGACGCAGATACTATTCCGAAGTTATTCTTACTTCTTTTCTATCGCAATTTATTTCGTTCTTTAAAGTGCATAAAAAATATTTAAAATAGGATTAAAATGAAGCATCTTCTCGGGTGTTCTACGCCTCTGAAGTGGTCCAATGAGTGTTTAGGGTCTGTGGCGCTGGTGCCATCTTGTGGCTATATTTATAATAGCTTTTTTTTTTTTTTTTTTTTTTTTTCAGTATATAGAAAGGCCACGCCTCATGTCAAAGCCCAGAACCTGCACAGTTCCCTCACTGAGCTGCAGCGGCTGCACTAACACTGATTCATGTTTGTGTGCAGGGACTGGGGTTTAGAGTGACCAGAGAGTCCTTTTAGGTTTAACCCAACTGGCATTTCAACACTCAAACTGTTAACACAAATGAGAGACTCAGGTGAGGCTCATTCTGCTTTCTGATTAGATAATTGTCTTTAGAAACAAAACATCATATTATAACATAAAAAAGAGACATTTTTTTTTTTTCGGAATTAAGATTAAATCAGCATTATAATAGTAAAAGCTGACTGAGTCAACCGTGTTTACCTCATATTTAGGAAAAGGGATATGTCAAATGTATGACATTGTATTACATTTAAAATAGGCGACAGTTCTTTTAAAAAGTTTATTTTCAAGCAATTATCAGATTCTTTTTGGTTTGATGAAGTTGTTTTGTCTTCAGTATGACACAGTTATCGTTTACTTTGCATGGTGATTTCCCTTTGCTATAGTAATTTCCGTTTGCTGCTTCTTGAGTTGTAACCACAATGCACTTTGAAGTTGGGAAGGAGCTGTACCAAAACATAAAAAATGTAATTAAAAAACTTAATTGTTGATAAGTAAACCCGTATTTATTCTATCAACAAGTTAAAATACACCAATGAACAAATGAGGAACTGTGAAAGGTTGAAGATTCTTGATGAAAAGTAGTACTATGAAGTAATGTAGTAGTATGAACATTTATCAAAATCAAACTACAAAATATGGACATTGTAAGTGTTGTTATTATGCAAAGAAAACCTGATTATAATATGAAAATGGGGGACAGCCACAGTTTCAAATTCTGGCATATTCATCAATACATTCATTAGACTACAACATGTCTAAAAGATCAAGATTTTTTTTTAAATAATACAGGCTTATAAAATGTGTTAACATGAAAAGAAAAAAAATATATATATATTCAAAAATCAACATTTGTCTTCAATTCGTGTACTGGAGTCTTTAAGTAGTGGCCATCTTAATCCAAAATCTTGTCACACTTGGTATGGACACTCCCTCTTTGCTTCATGGTCACTGCACGCGCCGCAATCAAGTAGAAAATCTCACAAACATTTAGAATGATACACACTACGGATGCGCCCACCATGAAATACGTGAACACCGTCTTCTCCGTAGGCCGAGCTATATAACAATCCACCAGGTTGGGACATGGGCTCACATCACATTGGACTTTCCGTGGCACTCTGAACGTATTGTAGATGTAGTGAAGCGTGTAAAGAAATGTGACCTCAAATGCAGTCTTTATGAACAAACTCATTAAGTATGTCCACCACAGGCCACCGTGCTTCTGTCCCGGGTTATCGTAAAGTCGTGTATCTTCACCGTGCTTGACTCTGTATTTGCGTTCTCGCTCTTCTCTGTACGCCACGTGGAGTACGACCAAGAAGGTTGGGCAGGTGACGAAAATGAGTTGGAGGGCCCATAAGCGGACGTGAGAGATGGGGAAGTAGTAGTCGTAGCAGATGTTGGTGCAACCGGGCTGGCGCGTATTGCAGTCGAAATGTCCCTGGTCATCGCTCCATACTCTCTCCGCCGCCACCACGAAGACGAGCACGCGGAAGACGAAGACCACGGACAGCCAGATCCGTCCAAATGCAGTGGAGTACTTGTTGACTCCACTGAGAAGATCTTCAAGAAACTTCCAATCCATTTATATTTTAGTCCTGAAAAACACAAGGAAAAGGTTTATAGCAAAAGGAGAAAAGCACAGGCCGAGTTACAGGTTAGATCTGTGACACAGCTGGTAAGGGTTTCTATTTTTCAAGATATTTTTAGCAATAAACACCTGCAAATTAATGCATGAAAGGTACGCCTAATCCAGGTGTAATCTCATATGGAAGTTTCCAGACAAAGCAATAAAATATTCATGAAAACAAGCAGTGCACCTTTAAGATGAGTTTGCATGTCCTCTGGTAAAGCTAAATTAAGTTGAGTTTGTATGTTCTCATGTTTCCTCCATATGCATTATTTCCCATACACCAAAAGCATGCACAGACAAATCCTCCCTTTATACTCCTATAAAATCCAGACTAAAGATAATCCCTAAGGGCTTCAATGGGCTCACACACTGCTCTTGAAAGGTTGTCAAGCATTATAGGATGGTCAAATGCAGATGACGAAAATGAAAAAAAGTCTTCTATCTCTATCTTAACTTTAAAATTTGTTTCATTTGTTGATGTATAACTTAACTTAAAGTTGTTGCTCATTCTTAGGTTTTTTTCTCTAAAAGTCCCTCACAAATGTAATTTAAAAAATAAATACCTTTTGTGCTAATAATACTTTCAGTTTTGATTTAGATAAGGGACATTGAAGCAGTTTGTCTTAGTAAGTTGAGTAGTTTAGACTAGTTATGATCATTAAAGTGTTTATTCAAGTGTATAACAACTGACTAAGCATTGATTAAATGTGCAACCTTGTATTATTAGCAGCCATGTTGTAATTCTATTGCCATGTTCTAATAAAATTCTAAAAAGGTGAGGCAAAGCTGCATAACACATTTAAAAATGCTAAGAAAACCTTACCTGAGAAATATTGGCCTTGAAGACAATGTGTTCCCTTCACGTTTCAGCAAGTCTTGAATGAACTGTGTACAGAACACTACTGTTGACCATAACCCAGAGGAGTGGCCACTGCTGGCAACCACTCAATATTCCTTTTTAAATGTCCAACACCTAACGTAGCCCAAACACTGCTGTTGATTAAAACCAAAGTATGTTCCTTTTCTGCCTGTATCTGCAAAATCAAATCTTTTTAAAATACTAGTATTTAGCAACTATGTACAGTTGTTTGATAATATTGCGCACATATAAAACGAAAACTTCAAGAAAATTCACATGCAAAAAGCGTGCTGACCTGGCCCTAACTCGCTGTACTTTTGTGACTGTTATCAGGTTAGTAAGAATAAACAGGGTTACCACCTACGATTAATTTGTTCAGACATTAATGCTATCAGATATAGCTGATATTACTAAGACTAATACTTGGGTGTGAAAATGCCAACGCAAAGTCATTCTGATATGGCTACAATCTACGGCTTAATACAACAATGAGTGAATGTGCAAAGGATGTAGCCATTGCGCCTACAGGTACACTGAAACTTAGGAGTGGTGTTTTATCAAAATGTCAATATTACTCCCATAATTACATGTCTATTGATTTAAACTTGTTTAGGAGACATTTTGGTGTGTCTGAGGTGATTACAATATACAAAAAATTACTCAAGTATATGTCAAATTAAGTTACTCATTACTCATGAAATGACTCCTGTAAGAGTAAAAAGGTAGTCATAGATATATAAAAGTATACATAGTTTAATTCATGTCCGGGAGTAATAAATTATATCTAAGTTCTATTGTTCTATTGTATTGTTTCAACAGTGCAGTCTTGTTTTGAGTATCCCTAGGGTCAAATCAAACAACTATTCCCAAACTGCCTGTGAGAAAAACCTCTAATATCCCATACTATCACTGGTACAACTTATTGTTCAATAGGATTATAATATATTTTTATCATGTGCACATTTCCTTCTCACTACTGGTACATGTTTGGTTATTATTTGGCTATATGATAAGATATGAACCGTAGAAGGTTGAGGGTTGTTTATTTATTGCAGCTTTTGAGTGTGTGTGCGCATGTTTTTGTGGTTTTTTTAAATGATTATTGCACATTTAGATTTGTTTTTATGGTATAAATCTGCTCTTGGGCTATTAGTGGCACAAATTAGTTTCAATATTATTATTTATTTATAATTTCTTCTACATGATGCTTCAAAATTTGTAAGCATGACAGTCCACAGGATACATGCTGGAGCAAATTATCATAAAAGTAAAAGTCAGTAAAAGTAAAAGTCAGTATGTGGAAAAAGAGTCTTTATTAATACTCATTATATACAAAATACAATCTTTATTTTTGTTCAGATGTGCTTCATTTGCAATATTTAAAGCATGGTTGTAGGAAGGCTTTTAGATTCAAAGGTTGGATAAATGATTAGCTCAATGCATGGGCTCACTGTCTTGTAGTGGTAAAAGAGTAAGTCTTAACCACTTGTTTGGTCTATGGATCATTGACATCATGTGTATTTAATGATAATATTTAGTCCATACTAAAACATCTACATTACGTATTTAATCCCCTCGATCACACATCAACACTATGGCTCAAGACAAGGCAACAGCATATGCTGGTGCAGAGGACTCTATGGTCACTTCTCCATTGTCCAGTTTGTCCATGACTGGTCCTTTGTACATGGAGCCACGCTTCTCGGTCAGAGGTATGCTGGGCATCATGAAGGAGGAAGGGGGATCTCGGCTGGACTTGTGCCTAGCTCCACAGCACTCAACCAGCCTCTTTCCACACAGATACAGGACCTCCATCAGAGTGAGGATGATGCACACCAAACTGGTGATCACCATGAAGATAGTGAAGAGTTTCTTCTCTGTGGGCCTGGGAAGTAAAAGATAAATAGCCATGAACTGCTAGATTCTTTAAAAATAATAATAATTTGTAACACAATTTTTGTTTGTTTGTTTTTTTGCTATTGTATCAACTTTAGATTAAAAAAATCAGTAGCCCTATATACAGATCAACTCTACTACTGAGGGACATGATCATGCTGGGCATTTCATTTTCAAACAATATGACTATTCTATATCTACAATACAATTAATCACTGTCTTATATGTCAAAGTACACCTACCTTGCAATGTAGCAGTCCACTACATTGGGGCAAGGATCTTCGCTGCATTTGACCAGAGGTGGAAAGAAGGTAGCCTCATAGATGTAGAACAACAAGAAAATAAAAACACTGTCCACAGTGATCTTAAAGAGCAGGCTAAAGAAGTAGGTCCACCATAACCCTCCACGCTTCTTCCCTGTGTTATCATATAGCGGGGGGCAGTCTTCTCCGTGCTTCAGCTTGTGTTTGCGCTCTCTTTCCTCTCTGTAGCTCACATGCAGGGTCACCAAGAGGGATGGGCATGTAACAAAGATGAGTTGGAGGGCCCAGAGACGGGTGTAGGAGACAGGGAAGTAATAGTCGTAGCAGACGTTTTGACATCCAGGCTGGCGGGTGTTACAGTCAAAGTCTTTCTGCTCATCTCCCCATACCTTCTCGCATGCCACCAGGAACACCAGGAGCCTGAAAATAAAAACAATAGCAAGCCAGATTCGGCCAAAAGCAGTGGAATACTTGTTGACTCCGCTGAGAAGACCCTCCAGGAAACCCCAGTTCATTGTGATAAACAGGTAGAAGCAATCGCAGCAGACTAGTTTGAAGAGACTGCACACACCTTATGGCACTAGTACTACAACTGCTTGACTCTTCAGTTAAAGGGGTGGGAAGAAGTGTGATATGCTACGCAAACATTCCATTATACTGACAAGTGCAATCACAGATCGTAAGAATAAGCAGCTGACTGTACAAAAAGTGATTTTAGTTGAAAACGCCTATAAACAAATCATGTTATATCATCCCATTAAATATAAAGGCCTGAATGAATGGGCTTAACTTAAACTTAAAGCTTTACCTCCACAGTAAGGCATAAAACATATAATGTTCCCAAGTATAGTTTTACTTTACTATGTCAGGGGAATTGTGGAAAGATTTTTTAAAAATGTATTGATACTTGCTTAAGTGTACATCAACACTGTGACCAATTAATATAATTATATTGTTACAGAATTAGGTTGTAGCATATGTATACATCTTTTACATCGCTATACTGTGTGATAAACATGCATTTTTAAATGTGCTATTCCAGACCACTTGTTATCAGAACTGGATGCAATGTTCTTTCCAGACAGTGTGGTAGCCTATGCACATAGACATACATGCCAGACACTTTACGCCCACTGTTATGCGCTGCAATGTCAAGTGTGATTGATAATGTATACCACTTCCTGTGCATACCAAAATAAAACATAATTGTCCAGCTATTCTGTACATTATGTACATTAGAGATCCTCGTGTTCTGGAAATGTCTACAGTGGAAAACAGTTTGTAGATGATACGACGGGCTTGCCAAAAGGTAGACTGGAGTTTCTTTTAGATGTCTTTATTTGCATTTGCGTTTGATGGCAGTAAATTCCACGTCTGTCTGTACTGTAACCGGAAGTTGTGATTATTACAATGTCTACGATTACAGTGGTGTCGGGTGAGGGGTCATAAATTGAAACAGACTCCCCACATTTGCATACTGTATTTCCCCTCTGCATAGCTCAAAGACAACATGACCCTGTACACTTTAGCTTGTGCACGCTCGTAACCGCTCTGTTGCTGCTGAAGTTGGATTTTGCTTTGGAGGACAATTACACTACTTTACCCAGAGTCTTTGCCCCATCTGTCCACAGCTGGCCGCGGCGATCGCTCCTCATCCGCCGGAGGTGGGTAAGATCTCCGCGGTGGGACATGGCTGTTAGCTGCTTTGCTAGCGCTATCCGTCGAGCTAACTGGTTAGCATAATGGCGCTGTCCCAGCTGGTTTTGACTAATGCATGCCATCGTGTATAGCATTTAACCCATTTGACAGTCTGCAATAACATAGGCTCGATCTAAATTAACCGTCCACACTGCATGTTGTCAAAGTTTAGTTATTAGCCAACACAAGCAGATTCAGAAAGTCATCGAAGACACGCTCGAACGGAATCCTGCAAAACATTCAAAATAAAAGCCGTCTTCGTTGCAAATACAGCCTACTGCTTAATGTTTTTAGAAACAGCTGGTGGAAGTAAATGGGAGCTAATTAAACTATTTTAGTTTTCACATGCATACATTTGTATTGAAACCATGAATGTTTAGTGAGTATTGCTTTGAAGGAGCGCTCGTCTATGTTTTTACGCTGTAGCCGTGCACTTCCGTTTTTGGTCTGTTTTGCAGCCCACTTGACACAACCTTTCCATCGCATCAGCTGCAGCTTGAGTTGCGCTTGCCTATCCCCGTACGGGCTGTTCTTGATTGGGGATGAGCCGCGACTTTGGGGCAGGACGGGTGATGCCACGGGACGGTGTTTATATTAACCACAGTCGTCACTAAGCTAAGAGCTGTGTGCGTCTTTTCTTATGCAGGTCTGGAGAGACGCGCTCCGCTGAGCCATGCGACAGTGGAGTGTCCCCGTTGCGACCCCACGCACCGAGCCACTCCCGGGCTGCCTCTCCGTGTCACCCCCGCCCGCAGGTAACCGGTCGGGACATCGCTTTCACATGCTTTATTAGTAGAGGAGACTTAAGGATGCTCTGATTGAAGTCTCCTTAATTCCTCTAGATCGGTGCTTACTTTAGATTCTGTAGCTATTACTGTATGATTCTTGGTGTAGATGGCATCAAGTACGTGGCTGAGTTTGCTAAATGGAATAATATGTATTTCCGAGACTCAGCAACCGACCTTAAAATGTTAATGTTATAAGTTCTATGACATGACACTTTTTAATTGGATTCTGCCCCCAATTAGACAAATGGGCCAGTAAGTATGAGATTTCCCGGAAGTTGTAGTTTTAATATGCTAGTGTCATTGCTCTGTCTGTATTTCACCCCAGACGTATCAAGCAAGGTTATAGTTTGTGCCAAGCGGTTGAACAGATGCCAGGATTTCAAATGAACTTCGACAGAGGAGAATGCAGCTGGTTCCATAAACCTATTTTATTAACACATAACAGTAATTAACATCCAAAAGCCACATCAGCATTCGGTGTGTGCACTAAGGTCCACATGTACTGTACACAATATTTGAATGCATCTGCCTACTTTTTGCCTTTATATGTTAATATTTCAAGTATACTTTTTCAGTTTGTAAATTGTAGCATAACACAAAGCATACACTTGTAAAATAATTAAATACAGATGTTATAGCCTACAATTTAGTTATGAATAGTTGCTTAGCCTAAATCTTTCTTAATTCATTAATTTAATCATAGATAGCATCTTTAGATGCAGGATATAATTCTTAATTGTACAAGTAAGTAAGTAAGTGTTGTAATTTCTCTTTATCTAGCTAAATGTCTTATTACATGTCTGCAAGCTAAATGTGTCAGCATGACTTTTCACATTTGCACACATGCTTTAATGGTGACTTATTGGCAAAAAGAAACATAATTACAAGCTTAAAATAGGGTTGGGCAGTTTATGGAATTTTAACTGTGATTTTCAATTCTATGATTGGGTTTTTGCAGTGGAGAGATCTACAGCCAATCCCTTGTCAACAACAGCATGTGGTTTGGAGCAGAGTTTGGACTTAAAAGAAATAAATTGGGCTATTTTCTGTGTTTAATGGCACTTCTACAGCAGTCTGTCTAGTCTATGTTGAGAACTCATTACTGAAAGACATTTTTATTTTCTGAAAAGGAAAATCAAACTGAATATGAAGATCGGTCAATATGTGAGAAAAATGTGAAAGTCCTTTAGAGTACAAGTAAAAATGCACATGTAGATCTCATGGGGGCTAGCAAGAAAGTTCTGCGTTCAATCCCTCGCCCATTTACATGTTTCTGTCTGGGTCTGGGTGAGTTTCATCCAGGCACTCATCACCCCAAAACATGTGCAATAGGTAAAAATGCTTCATCCAAGTTAGGTAGTTAAGACCAAGTCTAGCAACAAAATCACAGAGATAGGTCACAGACTACTGTGCTCAATGCTCCCGAGGAGATGCCCCAGTGGCACAGAATGGGACAAATTTCTTTATGGGGACAATAAGTGTACCTTAATCTTAATTCATAATCTTCTGATCTTCTTCTGATCTTATTTTTCTGTTCCCAGAGGCCACAATGGAGTGCTGTGAAGTGGAGCCACGATACACCATTGAACAGATCGACCTCCTGCAGCGCCTCCGCCTGTCCGGGATGACCAAACCTCAGATCATTCATGCCCTGGAATCTCTGGAGCGGCTGGACCCAGAAACACGCCCCGCTCACTGTGACGCTAACTCTGCCCCCTCCCAAAACAACAACAACAACAGCGCCCATACCACATCTTCATCCTCTTCTGCCTCCTCGCTGTCTCTGGCCTCTGCTACCACCCAAACCTCTGGCCTGGACGGAGCAGCGTTGTCTCCTAGCAACAGCTATGAGGCTTCACCCCCGCCACTGTACCCCCCAACAGTGGCAGTTCAAAGGTCATTCAGCTACGATATGATGGGAGAGGAGGAGTGGGACCTTGAAGAGAAAGTGGAGGAGTATATGAGGTAAGGGTGAGATTAAATGAGAGCATTAGAACAGCAGCTAATGATGGTAAATGTCTCCAGTGGCCTAGTCTTGTACTCCAGGATTGTTAGCCTGTTAATTCAGGTTGAGTGCTTGGGGAATAGAAAGGACACGGGAGGCATCAGTGAATAAGGTTAACCGGAGCAGAGGTTTGGATTGTAACTACATTGTAATACATGTATGTTGTGCTTGTTTCACAGAAGGGACAGCAACCTGGTGAAGGAGGAGATCAAAGCTTTCCTCAACAACCGCAGAATCTCTCAGGCAATAGTTGGACAAGTGACTGGTAAGTACAGTGGGAACATATTGGGCTTAAATCAGGTATAGCATGTTGACGGGTCAGACAAGTCAAACTGTTTTTAGAATACATTTTACAGCCAGTGAACATTTTGTCCTTAAAGGAAATACAATGCACATTTTAGAGATTGAGCCTGTGTTTTTTAGATATCAGACTACTCTTTACTAATGGTGCTGGTCTCTTACATTGTGGTATTCTCTAATGTGATTAACAGGACAGTACGCAAGAAAATGTGTTCTTTTGTTTCAGAGAGACTTCAGTATTCTTCTGTTCATATTACTCCAGTGTTTGTTGTGGGCCACTATAATCTAATGTCCCCCGTATAAATGAATCAAAAGTACAAAGATTGCATTCTCCAGAACATTGCAGTGATGTGGTACATGGAAACCAATGTGCAAATGCAGCAAGTGCTGACACTGTACTAACAGAGTTTAAACGGGCTATGTTTTTCTCGGGGGATTAGAGTGCTTATAACAGTTTGAATGCAACTAGGGCTCCAAGTAACACTAAGTTAACTAGTCATTAATAATTACCTTGTCTTAGAGCAGTCAACTAGTCAAACAAGTATTTCTATTGTTTTTAACCTTTCTGTGACTGTTGTGTGACTTCTGTTGAAGTATATTGTTATTATTACCATTTTAACTTGCCACTGTCTTTGTTATAAAATGTCTTTTGGCATGTGTTTTAGAGTCTCTATAGTCAGTATGACTCCTTTGAACTTTTGGCCGTATTATGATGCTGTTTCCCCTTCAAAAACATGCCTGGAGTTGTATTTTGTTTCATTCACACATGTTACTACATTTACAAAGCTCAAAATGCTTTGCCTCACCTTATGAAATTATTTTGTGGTAGTTTTCAAGTTAAGAGCTACCTTTTTGACTTCAGTTCAGTAGAGATTGGAAATTCCACAGCTTTAATGATCTAAATGATTCTAGTGAAGGTGTATGGAGTTTAAACACAGTTTAACACTTTCTGTATTATCACATGACATTGCAATGAGTTTTCAGTCTGAGAGAAGAACTCAGCTTAAATATGCAGGATTTGTGTGTTAAAATGAAGTGAATGAAACAAAACATAACTCCAGGTATGTTTGTGATGAGAAAGCAACATTATAACATCAGATCAGAAAATAGTGTAATAGTGTAATATGGGACCTTTGATTACAATTATTGTAATAGTAAACTAGACAATTATTTTGATAAACTGTTGCAGTCCTGTGATTGTTTGATCCATTGTATGTTAGGTATAGATATTTCAAATAAGTATAAGTGTTACATGCTCAGCTTGTTGTAAGTCTGAGTAAGTAATGAGGTCACACATTTTTCATAAAAAATGTGTGTTTCAGAATGTGTAAAAAATAAATATAGTACCTTTCACCCATCAGGCATCAGCCAGAGCTACATCTCTCAGTGGCTTCTGCAGCAGGGCCTGGAGATGAGCGACTCTAAGCGCAGAGCCTTCTATCGCTGGTACCTGCTGGAGAGGAACAACCCAGGTGAGCAGTGCACTCGAGCTGGTCATGTAACGCGGTCCACTGCCAGACTAAGAGCCAGATCAGATAACAGGAATGATGAATGCTCCCTAACAGATAAGGCCGAAGAGTGACTGTGGAAAACGCTTTAAGTGCACAAGGTTAAAGATAGATTTGAAAAAAGATAGTGTTTTTTGTCTATCCTGAACCATAGCTTGCTAAACTTGCGTTTGCAATTCTTTTATTCCTCCTTCCTGCATGGTAAACCCCCCCACCTCACTCACTGTGCTAACTTCATCTGATCATGTAGACTGAGGGCAAGCAAGGACTCTGGACAAAAAAAATCTATAATTTCAAAGGAAATACAAATGATAAAGGTAGTGCTGTCACTGGAGATGGGGGTCGATAGACTTAAGGCAGGTGAATGTGGTTCGACTGTGCTGGCTTCAGTACCAGTAATAGAACAGTGATTATGCCCAAGGTTACATGTAGGTTGGATTCTGAAGCAGAATCTTTTTTTGTACAGATTTAGCATTTTATAACTTAAATGGGCACTCTCCTGCTAGTAGATGGGAGACTTGTCACCAGAAAAGTTGCTCTGTGCACTTTTGACTTTGGTTGTTAGAATATATGCATTCTTGTTCAAATTAGTTATTAATGTGATAAAACAAATCTGTTATGCTGGTTGGTACATAGCGGTTCATATTAAAATCTGCTGACGGACTGCCTTACCGTCTCTTTGATCTTTATTTTTATTTTCGCCCTTCACCCACGCAAGCTTTGCACTAGCTTTCACAAACATCAGCAGTATCTAAAGCTGGGAGGTGCTCCTGTGCTGGTTTTCATTCCTACATGGCTAACAATCAGGCTATTAACTGTGATACTAACAATGGCTTTCCAAAGCGGCCACATGCTTTGCTTTCAATCTCAGCTCCTATTGACCTGCCACTCAGTTACTATCACTATCCAACTGATTGGGCATATTGACATGTCAAAATATTCTATACGAGTCATTTAATGATGGGTCTAAAGGAGTTTATACTATCAATTTCTTTTAATTAACCACAGTACATCTTAAACTTCCCAAGTCTATGCCTGACTGTTGGCTTTTGTCCAGAAGGGCTGAGATGGAGTGAAAACCAGCACAGCGTGAGTCCCTCGTCCAGGGGCAGGGGAGGAGACAGCACCCCCCAGCTCCTCCCCAACCCCAACACCACCCTGAACCCCAACGCGGCCCCGCTGTGGAGCAGGCAGAGGGAACTGCTCATGCACCTGCTGCCCTGGTACACCGCTGCTGCCTCACAGACTAACACAGGTAACAGCCAGAGACTCAGCCCCCTACAGGACAGAGTCCTGCACCGGGTCGGGTACCCGCAAATAGTTGCTAAAACAGGCGGGGTTTAACCTTCTGGAATTTTTATGGGCGGGTATGCAGGCAGGCAGTGATTTCACACAAGGGCAGGTCAGGACTAAACCAGGACTAAACCAGGACTACACCAGGATTAAACCAGGTCTTAACCAGGTCTAAACCAGGACTAATTTTGGACTTGAGAGAGAGGGAGAACCCCAAGCCTGTGGAGCACGGTGTCCACAAAGTGCGATCAGGCACGGCTGAGCTTAGCTCCATGGGGCACGGAGCTCTGTGCCGGTCCTTTCACCTGCAGTCACCCAACAACCTACACGGGTGCATCTCTGAACCCATCCTGACAGTCAGTCCTAGTTCAATCCTGGTTTAGTCCTCATGGTTCAGTCTTGGGATCAGTCCTGGTTTAGTCCTGGTTTAGTCCTGGTTTAGTCCTGGTTTAGTCCTGGTTTAGTCCTGGTTCAGTCCTGGTTCAATCCTGGTTCAGTCCTGGTTCAGTCCGTATGCGGCGCAAAAGTCCGGCATCTCGATCAATGGTTCTTCTGCTCAATAAATAATGCCTGTGAAGTAATGACGTATTTTTGACAGTATAGTCGTGTCTGTGAATTTGTATTCGTGCTGAAGAAAGCGTAATCATAAATATTCATTTTGTGATTGTAATTCTTGATGTCATAACTTTTCAATTCGTATTCTGATGGATAAAATACACACAATACACTTTATGTACGACTGGACTCATTCGAGAGTTTACGAATATTTATTTTATGGTCAGCTACAGCCAAATATGCATGGATTTCTGTCCTATGCACATGAATATTTCTGAAAGCTTTCTTACTCTGTACTATTGCCTAGTCAAACTGCCTATTCAATCCTCATTTAATGTCACATTGTTTGTTGACAGGCAAAGAAATAAAGTGCTTCAGTTAGAATGCTTTTAATTTGTGTGTGATTTATCACGGGCACGGGTGGATAATGGGTGGAATGTTAATGGGTTCGGGTGGGTGCGGCTTTAACTTTAATATAATCATGGGATAACAGGGGGGTGTGGTGCTGTGCTGTGTGGATGCAGGAGTTTGCAGGTCTCCAAACATGGACCCGTGCAGGACTCTACTACAGGAGAGCAGGGTCAGATCAAAGCCAACTATAATCTACTGAGCCCTCTGCCATATTATCAGCCACTATATATCAGGGAAAATTTACCATTGTACATAATGCTCTGCGAGGAAGATGGTTCCAGTGGCCCCCAGAAATGTTATGGGGTCACTGCTGCAGAATGCTGCTTGTCTGTTAGGCAGTCTCCAAAACTGAAGCTGTGAAACTGAATCAGCCTAAATCGCAATTACCTACAAGTGTATTAAAGGAGGACCATTTTTTAGTTATTATTCTATGTTGCTGAGATTGATTTATGTTGTGTCTCTGTTTCAGGGGCCACCTTGTCCATGCGCTCCATGGTGAAAGAGGAGCCCGACTGGAGGACTGGCATCATGACTGGGGAGAGGACTGGAATAGTGGGTGGTCCCTTAAGGCTGCGCAGAGGAAGCAGGTTCACCTGGAGGAAAGAGTGCCAATCCATCATGGAGAGGTATGTGCTTTAAATGGGCTGTTACTCAGTACTACCTCTTCTAAAATGCCTCTTACCATCACTTCTCTGAGCGATCAGTACTCATACACCTAGCTCCACACACATCACTCTTTCTGTGATGTGAGCACTGCCTCTGCTCCTCAACAGTGATTGGCTGGTACATACACTTCTGATTAGGTGCTATTTCACTAGTCTTGCTTCACTCGCACTGTTATTGTTGGTTATTTTTTAAATTGTGGTTATGCTTGATATTTTGTCCGAAGAAAGCAGGCTGAATTGGTTCATGTGGCTTGGATCAGCGTCAGAATAAACAGTGATCACTTTATGTTCTGCTGGGCACAGAGACAAAGCAGATTCTGAATTGTACAGAACCTCACATGCTGGCCTTTAGGGGATGCATGGAACATTAAATGAGAATATTCTCAATAGAGCATTGTTTTCAACCAGGCTTAAATGGTTCAAAGGAGCTCCATACATTCTTACAGCCGACTAAAGAAATTCTTGGTTGACCATAGACATGTGCTGATGGATTAGTCAACTAAAATGGGGGTGTGGCAAAAGCTCTCAAAAGTAATGTATCTCTATATGTCTGACTTAAACTGCACTCACAAGACTACAACTGCATAGAATTTCAAGCAAAACAACTATTTATACCTAAAATAGTACTAGGAAGTTGAAACTGCCTTTTACATGTAATGCCAAAAATACCAAATGTTCAGCATACTCACCCACTCACTCACTTCTCCTTCCTACTGTTGTCCCATATGTAATCTTAATAAAAATGATTAGTCAACTAAGACACCATCAACTGATTAACCAACTAAAGCCTTAGTAAACACAACCAAAGAATAAGCTGCAGAAGTTATAATTCCCTTGTGTGGCCCTTCACCACATTTTATTTAAATGGAACTTCTTAGCAGTGCAGCCAAGCTCCATAAAGCATGCCGTTGTCAGTTTTAATAAGCGTCCCAGGTGCAGTGTCCTTTAGTCTTTACCCCAGTTATTTAAAGCTATAGTCTACAGTGTAAAGTTAATTACAGAGCTCTACCTGTACAACACTATTTGTGGCAGACAGAAGTAGCGCAAGCCGCCCTGGAGAATGCAGAAAACCAGAGCAGACATTCCTGCACAGCTCCTTCCCCTCTGTGTCCAATTGATTTCTCTATTACACGCCTGCTGTAAGTACAAGGAGCACTCACAATAATAAGGGCTGCAGACGACAACACTCCGGATCTCTCTCACAGGATTGCGCAACTCCACTGCAGTGCCAATCCTGATGGGCCAGTTTATGCCCAAGGACAGGACAGCGGAGGTTAAGAAGCTGTGGACAGGGGAGGGCGAAGCAGAGGGTGACGAGGCACTGAGAAATTGATCCCGCTGTGTTTTGTAATGTGAGATAATCTGCCTTTTTTTAGCCCCAAGAGATGTTCCAAAGCTGAACAAAACGGCACAAAACTGTCTGCTCCTTCATCTGCATTTAAACATTGTCCTACTGAATTGCCATTATATGCCCTCTTTATGGGCTTTAACATGGCATAAGTGTTTCCTTATCAGATTTACTTAAAATTACATTTGGTGTGATTCATGCAAGCTTGAGTCATCCTTTATTGCCCTGCATTTGAGACTTTAGTGATCCAAAGTTTTCACCCACCCCCTATCCCCACCTACTGCTCTAAACTTACTTGTGATTATTCAGTCAATTCAGATACTCTTTAATGCTCCATAATGCTTATTTAATCTCTAATTTCTGAATGAATCCACTTCTTAATCTGGTTTAAACTGTATAAATGAAGTTGTTTCTCCTCTGCACTTTAGAAGGTAATGGGGTGTAAAATAAGGCTGTAATAAAGACTGTCTCTCAGATTAGTGCACTGGGCTAATCAGATGCAGAGCCGGTGATGCAGTGTAATTTACAGCTCTGGGATGTGTCCTTACAGTTTCTTCATTGAGAATCAGTACCCAGACGAGGCCAAGCGAGAGGAGATCGCCAACACCTGTAATTCCGTCATTCAGAAACCAGGTACAGATAACGCAATATTTTTCAAAATTCTCTCAAATGTCGTTATTCAATCATACATTTACGTGGTCACTATGGATTAAAAATGAGACATTATGTTATTTATTATATATTATATATTATTATATAACTATGTCTATAATGTCATAGAATGGTAAGAAACTACCTTGTAAAACACACATTCTAACTTTTAGCGAGTCTTAGGTTCATAATAATTCCTTTATAATAAGACAATGCATAGAGTTATAGTTAAGGTAATTTACCTGTTTCAAGTTTTCATTCGGTTTATATTCTTTCACTTAACGGACAGGTTGTTGTGACATTTTTGGCACAATGGAAATCAGTTTTCATGGTAAATTACTTTCCTTATCCCTGCATTTTTGCACTTCAAAGTAGATGACACTTTTGATGTTTGTTGAAGGTAAAAATAAGCGCTTCAAACAGTAATATTGCAGAGCGTATTTCAATATTAGTTCAATGAAAATAAAATGATGATATAATGACACTGTTATTGTAAGAGTAAATTGGATTTTATGTGTCCCAGGTTGTAAGCTGTCGGAGTTTGAACGTGTGACTGCACTAAAGGTTTACAACTGGTTTGCCAATCGCCGGAAGGAGATGAAGAGGAGAGCCAATATTGGTGAATGTTTTAAAATTTATTTTTTAAACTTTTTTTTTACTGCTTTTTTATGCTTCTTACATAAATTGTTTTATGGTTTCTCTAATACAACTAGAAGCTGCCATTTTAGAAAGCCATGGAATTGAGGTGCCAAGTCCCAGCTGCCATTCAAATGGAGAAGAAGTGGAGATGCATGAGTTTGCTGACCAGGTGAACCATCGCTTTGCAGAGCAAGTCATCCATGTAAGTTACAACTGAAGCCTGGTATGTCTGTTTACTAAGATTTTAAAAAGCAAAAAAAAAAAAAGTACAGTTTCCCTGGTTTGTAAAGTACTATCATTATTGTATTGGGGACTTTTTGAGTGTAGTTTGCGCTCATTGGATAATTTTTATACTCATCTTAAATGTTATGTTTTTGATATTAATATTACATTCTCCTATCATTAAACAGAGCAGAATTACATATGGCTTGAAGGGCTGCAAGATCCATCACAATAGAATTGAAATTGGTATTTGAATGTGTATTCTGAAAAATTATTCTTCTGTTAGTTTGTCTGTTCATATTTCAGTCTTTTTGTTTTTCTTCTGGATGTGTTTAAAAGAAACTTTACTATTGAATACTATTATTAAAACATAAATCTGCAATTGCAATTACAATCACAATGCTTGTCAGATAAATCGCAATTTGATCTTTTACCCATATCGTTCAGCCCTAAAGGCTTATGCTAGTGGTCCAGTTAATACCTGAAGCATCTTTTAGAGTTGTAAATAGCATTGTGTTGGCTCCAGCAGGTGACCAGAGGGCAGTCAGAGTTGCTACAGAACAAATGGATAAATTACAGGGAGTGAGTGAGGCAGCTGCACTAAGTCAGACCAGCTGTTTACTGTTCCCAGCAGACACGCGGACAAAAACATCTGACACATCAAAGACTAGTCTACAGCCCAGGACTATATATCAGCACCTATCAGCTATAAAAGGAGGAAAGGCTCAGTGCTGGTCAGATGAACAATATGTTCAATCATCATGTCTGTCATGGTATGGTAATGAGAAGAATTTTGAAATCCACAATATATTCTTTAAATGTTATATTGTTCAATATAGAGTTAACCTTTGTTAAGGAGTATGAGGGGGAAGCAGTAGGCATCTTTCCCATTTTTTTGACTGTTTAAGCCAACTGTACTTTCAATATTGCAGTCCAAATTAAAGACTCATGTAATCCCCATTCTATCCATGTTGGTAACTGTGGGCAACCATTGTATTTCTTCTCACAATGATTTAACATTTCACATCAGATCAAGGTCCATTTCTAAGATGCTACTTTTGACCATTGGGTTTGAATCCCACAGGAGGACGGCTCTGTCCAGAGGTTGGGAGACCCACAGGACTCTGCGTTGACTGCGACAGACGGCGCCTCTTTGCCAAGCCCCGCCCCTCAGCTGCAGGAACACAAGGAGGAGCACTCCAAAAGGGAGACAGTGGATGAAGAGTGACAAAAGCTGGTTGATTGGCACAATCATGTTTAAGCAAATGTAACAAGCAAACTAAATGTGTCCAGCCACAAAGAGCCTTGTGGGTGCATTGACACCCTATAATCAAAGGGAGACGGGTGCTGAAGCTTGCTGAGGTGCCTCTGATGAGGAGGAGGCCTCCGTATTTATCAACAGTAATCCTGCTTATATTTACGGCAATATACAGTATACATGTATATCTATATTGGTATATAATGCAGTTCAAGATGGTATTAATCAGTCTAAATTCTTAGTTGGATGATTATGTAAAGATACCTCGTTCATTTTAAGCTAATTTTCCTTTTCTAATGGCTTCCTGAGTTTCCACAGCGGCTGTTGGCTGAGCCTGCAGGTCAGGTGCTCTGGTGACAAAGGGATAACTGATGAGTGGTGTTTCTACTGTGACCATCAAAGCCCTGAGGCTCTGCTGGAATCTCAGGGAATGGTGGATCAGAGCAGTCCAGTACAGTGTGCTTCTATCTATAAGTACTTTTGTGTTTTTGTTTAACCAAACTAGGGTATTCACTATCTTATTTATACCTCTTTGTAACAGCAGAACAAGCCTCAGAATATTTGATCATTTTATGACTGAATGCAATATTTGTCCGCTTGTGAATAGCTTTCATTTTATTTCAGGCACAGAAACGCTCGACTAGTGAACTCAGATATTTCTTACTTCAGTGTTTGATCATTGCTATAAACAAATGTGAGTATCCAGGTGCTTCAGACTAGACTGTAACGCACCTTAATGTTGGTGTTATTATGTGATCAAAATAAGCTAAAGCTTAAAGCTCTAATGATTGACTGCAAAGCTTCCAAGCACCTCAGAGTGAATTCACTATAATGGTTCAGTGCACAACCTGCACTGTACACTATCCAGAGAGTCTCTTCTGTGGGACTCTCTTTAAATTAGAAATGTAAAATAATATTTGACTTGAATTATGATTTTATTTTTCTGTTATGTATTCCCCTGTATTGAATATGTGGCCCAAGGCCATGGGAGTTTCTCCCTCACAGTTCATGTAATGAACACACATGCTTTGTTTGTGAAGCGCCCCCTGTGGGTGTAGCCATGTTACCTCTTAATGCCAAAGCTATGCCAAGGTAGAGACGAGCTCCAGACTCAACTGTGCAGCAGCAGGACACAGTCCGACCATATTGTACATGATTATGTAGATGTTCTATGCTCAGTACAACACTAGCCAACTCTAGCTTACCTCAGACTCACTTATGTCATGATGTTACTGTAACACGCCATGACATGGACCGTATGTAGCAGTGTGACGAAGGGTTCCCCTGGATGAATGATTCCCCTCAGACAGTTCTCATGTGAGACTTTGGACACAAGCCCCAAAGTCTTACAACTCTTTGTGATTATTCTGCTCTACTCTATCTGCTTTTATCCGAAAAGACAAACTATACCAATAAAACCATGTAAGAGAAAACTGCCTTCTATTTTTATTCATTTATTTATTTATTTTCTTTATTTTTAGAAAGGTAAATAGTTTGGAAATCTTAGAACTATTTTGAAACTTGGAGTGAGATTGTTTGTGTGTAGTTACATAGATAGTATGTACACAGCAGGAGTTTTTTTTTTTTCAATATCTTACTCTAAGAATAAAATAAAATCTTCTCATTTATTTTATGAAGCAATTTTAAAAGTTCAACCTGAACAAACTAGCTTAACGTTTTCCAGGAGAAATCAATACAGTAACTCATCTTCAAACCACAAGATGGCAGCATTGTTTTACATGAATGAAAGCTCAAAACTGTCTCCGATAAAGATAATTGCAAGTGAATGATCAGAGTATTATGTAATTTTCAAGTAAATCATACAAAGTACTGGAGTCTATTTTTGTTTTGCAATAACTTTGGACCCTGTTGAGTGATTTTATTTCAAACAAATACAATAGTAATGCTCATTTGTGGTTTCAGTTTCAGTGCAAACCATGGAGATTTAGGGACACCACAACTGTAGAGTGAAAGGGTCAATGACAACTAATGTTAGCTAAAACAATTTCAGTGAAAAAGATCACCAGTATAGTTCAAATAGAATTGTGTTGGCAAATAGGCATTAGTGAATTACAACTGTACATGGGTGCTGATATACAGTATTTCCACTTGAGGGAGACACCAGCTCATTCATGTTAATGCACTGGTAGCTCTGAGTCAGTGTGGATTATAACAATGTAAAAGTAGTACTTAATTATATCTTTTTAGGTACCTGTACTTTACTTAAGTAGATTTTAAAATGGATACTTTTACTTTACTGCTTTGAGAGCAAGTGTCTATACTTTCTACTCCACTACATTTTTGAACAAGACTGGTTTATCCATCCATCCATTATCCGGGGCCGGGTCTCGGGGGCAGCAGCCTAAGTAGGGACTCCCAGAATTCCTTCACCCCAGACACGTCCTCCAGCTCCTCCAGGGGGGACCCCAAGGCGTTCCCAGGCCAGCCGAGAGACATAGTCCCTCCAGCGTGTCCTGGGTCTTCCCCGGGGCCTCCTCCCCGTGGGACATGCCCGGAACACCTCCCGAGGGAGGCGCCCAGGAAGCATCCGGAACAGATGCCCGAGCCACCTCAGCTGGCTCCTCTCGACGTGGAGGAGCAGCGGCTTTACTCCGAGCTCCTCCAGTGTGACTGAGCTCCTCATCCTGTCTCCCTTTGACTGGTTTATTTTTCACACATTTGTAGTTTGAGCAAACAAAAATATACAAATAAAGACAGCAAGGAAAAAACTGTTTCCTGTCGAACCTTAATCAAAATCACAACATCTGAAGACATAATACTTTAAACTCAAGGTAGATTCTTTTCATGTAATACTTTTTCTTGAGTATTTTTTGCTTTGATATCTGTACTTTTGTTTAAGTAACAAAATTAAATACTTCTTCCACCACTGCACTAAGGTTATATAATTATATAATTGTGGTTTATAATTACATAATGTCAGTACTTTAAATGTTATCAACAGTGAGTGTCCCTGAAAATGTTCAAAGTTTTATTTAATTTTCACATGATAAAAAGTGTCAAGTATCGCAGTACATTTGCAAGGGAAATGAGCATAGGGCTCATGTTTGTCTGGGTGTCTGGCATTCGGAAGTCATGCCCAGCACAAAAAAAATCTACCATCTGGTACAATCAAGAGCCTTACGCACTTGCCCATCTATTTTAGGATGAGAGAACTACAATATTCAGATTTGTCAGATGATGTAATCTGAAAACTATATCAAGTCAGTCATTATAAAAATGTGTCGTAGAATAAATTGAAGTAGTCACTAGTAAGAGCTAGAGATGCTGGAGTTCTAAGTTTATTTACTATCAGTACAGAACCCAGCACCCGGAGACATGAAGCCTCAACATATTGTAATAGTATTGTCCTTTTCAGTCTAGTGAAGTCCAGTAAGGCTGCTACCACTGTAGGGAGTATTTTACCTTTGATGATGTAGGCTGGTGGTGTCAATCTTTTTTCACCGAGCTTCACGTATTGAAAATGGAGTAAAGGGCCACTGTAGGATAATAAATTGAATCATTCAAAATGTTGAACTTTATCTAGGTTTGACTGAGCCACCACAGCTTTATTAAGGCTTGGAACATTTATTTTTTGTCATAATAACATGTTTGCTATTTAAGTTATTAAAGCAGATTTAAAAATATATATATTTCCAGTCCATAGTAATACTTTTCGGCAGTTGGGCCAACAAAAATTTATCCGAACACTGCATTTAGCTCAAACACCCCTGATGTAGGCCAAGGGCTACAAGGGCTGAGCTGGCACAGTAGAATTTACACTTTTTTCAGCTGTCATATGATGGAATCTGAGAATATAAATCAGGCATTAAAATGATATTTTACAGTTTGGAATTGCAGAAGCAGGAAAGAACCTTGGTCCCCTTTTTGTTTGGTCATATATTAATTGGCTTCATTACGACACTGTGTGGTTTTGCATTCCAAGAAAAAAATAAATATAAAAATCTCTAAATATTTTAGAATACAGTGGATTGATCACACTTGGACTGAAACTGACCAATAGTTTAAAGGTAAATGCTATCGTGCTACTTTGGTGGGCAATATGTGAAATGTATGGTACATGATTAAGCTATACTTTATAGTCCATGTAGAGAAAATCCTTTACATTTAACCCATCTGTCAAGGGCAGTGGTCAGAGGGTCTTCTCCTGCATCTTGAGCTGAGTTAAGAGCTTCTTGATCAAAAGAATAGGATAAAGGGCTATTTTCTGATCCATGTTATAATGTTTCCTCATCACAAACATACCTGGAGTTGTGTTTTGTTTCATTCACACATGTTTAACACATATCCTGCATATTTCAAGTTCTTCTCTCAAACTCAAAATACGCTGTTCCATCTTGTGATGACATGGTAATACAGGGAGTGCTCCATTATGTTTTTAAACTCCATACACCTTCATTAGAATCATTTGGATAATTTTGCCCTGGAATTGATAGTCTCTACTAAAGAAAAGATAAAATGTAGTGGTAGTTTTCTAGTCAACAGCTACCTGACATCACAAAGTGCAAAGCATTTTGAGTTTTGGAGATGACAGACAGACTTATAAACCAGAGTTACTCATGTATGGATGAAACAAAACAACTCTGGCTATTTTTTTGATGAGGTAGCATCATTCTAACATGACTTAAAGCCCACAAGAGTCAATTTTGTATAATGTAGGACCTTTAACATTGAAACAGTCTGAAATCAAACTTTGGACCAAATTGTTGAATAGAATGGATGGTTCCTTGTCAGTCAAAAAACTGCTGCAGAACTTTTGGAGACGTTTTCGCAGATCACTTTGGAGTGAATATCGAAATGTTGCTTACACACACATTTACAAAAGAGCCATTTTTACCAAGCTCGAGGCCAACTTGTATCCTTCACTCCTTCACCAGTGTTTTTCATCCTCTATATTCCCGATGGAGCACGGAATTCATGACCCGTCAACTTTCTGCTGACTGCACAGGCCATCCTCTGCTTCTGTAAACCATTTCCCCTCTACTCCACTCACAAAGCACCCACTGACACCCCTAACAAAAAAAAGTATTCAATTTGTCACTGGCTCTGTAGCGTCAACAGTTACATTTTGATTAGGGCTATTTTCTGTCGACGGGGTGTTCACTGGCCTGTTTTTAAAAGGGTAAAAAAACATTTATTCGGGAGCGATCTATTTCATGTGCCATCTTGTCTGATGACTTTTCATCTCATTGCAGGCTCACCGCTTTGTCCTTTTGAGAGGTGACAGGACCGGGTGGCAAGGAAAAGCGCTGGTGCTGGAGGAATAAATAAGATGGGGAAAGTTAAAGTTATCTTATCTAACGATCACAAAACAGCAGATTTTTTCAGGTAAGAGAAAATAACTTCTTGTGGTTGTTGCTTCGAATTCCATTTCCACAAAGATTCATGTTTAAAGATGCACTGTGTAACTTTTCTGATGGGGTCTAACACCTGCTTGTCTCTATGCCTTGAATGTTCCACAGTATAGCACATATCTACTGTTTTTATTGCTCAAAGTTGTATCACATTATTCCTATGAACAGACTCACGTACAGACTGGACATGAAACATCAGCATCTCCAGGGTGACAAGTTAGCAGACTAAAAAAGTTACACAGTGCACCTTTGAAGAACGTTTTTTTTTTGGGTTTTTTTACCACATTATGTCGTTATCCCCTTTTCACTGAGCATTCAGGAAAGCTCTGTTCCTGTTTTGGTAATTTTGTTGCGTCATTGATAAAACTCGGGAGTTCTCCTACTTATGAAATCCCAAAGTAATCAAATGTATTAAACACAAACAAATCCAGGCACTCTAAAGAAGTAAAAATTGCACAAGGAACCAAATAACAAAGCAAATGCATGTTTAAAACAGAATTAAAGCTAAAATAATGTTTCCTTTAAAGGTCCTACACAAAATTGAATCTTGTGAGCTTTAAGCCATACTAGAACGTTGTTTTGTTTCAGAAACAAGTTTGAGTAATCCTTTATTATTAGTCTATCTACATCTCCAAAGCTCATAATGCTCTGTCCCATGTTGTGATGTCGTGTAGTGGTAGTTTTGAAGCTGATAAACCTTTTGTTCAGTAGAGACTGGCAATTCCAGGGTTGAAACCATCCAAATGTTTCTAGTGCAGGAGTATGGGGTTTAAAAAACAAAGTGGAGAACTTTCTGTATAATAAATATGATTATAAGATTTGTGTGTTGAACATGGGCGAATGAAACAAAACACAACTCCATGTGTGTTTTTGTTAACATAGATCAGACTATTGCGTAATATGGGCCCCTTAAATAAAGCCTCACAGGTCTGTTGCCCTCAGAGGAGTGACACCACAGTGGATTGAAGAGTTTTACCATGTCCTATTTTGCAGTGAAATACAGAAGAAAACAGCGTACCTACTGCCATGTTGTGCCCTGATTCTGTCACTGGTTTTTGGTG